TTCGCCCTCTGCCTCTGAACCCTCTTCCTCTCCAGTCTCTCCCTCCTCTTCCTTGTCGTCTTCATCCTCTTCCTCAATGTTCCATTTTCCATCCTTTCAGAAAGAAAATAACATTTATTTAAAAACTATTTTTAAAAAAAATTATTAAAGCCCACCCGTTTTGAACTGAGATACCTGATAAGCAAGAGTCTTCGTGTCATGCTTGTCCAAGACAAAGCCGTCGTTTAGGTCGTCGGCAGAGATGTGGACTTGACTCTTCATACTGTCCCCGCCTTCATCTCCCATCATCCTCCTCAGACGGTCAGCCTGAAGAAACGTAAAGCAGATCGAACCTGTCGCATAAAAAGGTGCAAAAATAAAAGCAGTGATGACAGCTACAGCTATTGCTGCAGTCACCTCCAGTTTCTGCAGTTTCTCCTTCTCTTCCTTGGCCAGCTCCTCTGGGGTCTTCATCTTCTCTGAGGGTTGGGCCTTCATCTCGAAGCCGAGCTCTCGGACTATCATGTCGTACTCCTCCGGCTGATAAACCCAAACAAGAAGCAGAAATCAGAGGAGTACGAGGTGTGAGACAGAAACCTTTCAGGGTTTATTTTATTTCATTTATCCATACCTTTGCTTTCTCCTCCGGTTTGTCGACGTGTTCGGCTTTGGGAGTTTTCTTCACCATCAGAGCTTGAATGCTTTTCCAATCTTGATCCAGCTTCTCTGTCAGCTCCTGGGCCTCCTCCTTCTGCACCTGACGCTCCCTCTGTGAACAAATGTCTGCATCATTTTCCAGGCCTCTCCAATGTCACATTTCAGCAATGTTTAAAACACACATTTAAAAGGGATACAAGGTTAATTCAATGATAGAAATGAATGCATGGACAAATAACTTTCAATCTCTCTGTAGGAATGCTGTGTTGAACATAAACACCAGAAGAAAAAAAACACTGCTATCACTAGTTGGAAAAAAAAACATAATTGTTATTTTGCCTAACAATTAATAATGTGCTGTCAGCTCACCTTCTCCAGTTTGGACTTCTGGATGAGCTCCTCAATCAGTTCCTGTCTGGATTTGGTCTTCTGACCCCCCTGCTCATCCTCCTGGTCCCCCCCAGATGTTTTCTTCCTCAGCAGACCCCCTCCGCCTCCAAAGTGGGAGGCGGTCAGCTCAGCTGTGTGTCAAAATAAAACACGTTTAGTAACAAATTGATGACATAACTCACACGCAATAATTAGATGATGGGAATTTTCAAACATCAGTAATTAGATACAAAACAAAAACGAAAAAGCAAAAGACCTGCATGATTGTAAAGTTTAATGTTTCCATTATGCAAAGCAGTTTGAATTGATTTGTGGCTGAAAATGTGGCATACAAATAAACTTTCCTTTCCTGAATAGCATTTGGTTTGGACTCACCTGATAAAAGGCCTTTCTCCTCTGAGTCATCATCGCTACCAACAGTGTCATTAAATTTCTCAATTTCAGCCAACGACTGGCCGTAATGAGTCAGCTCTTCTTCCTCGTTCAGGTTGAAGACGTCTCTCTTTCCATCAGAACGCTAAGAACCAAACACCAATGGGAAGAAATATGTCAAGAGTAGGTGACAGTAGAATTGGGGAAAGTGTCAGACTGTGGTAGCAATTAAAACATTGTTAAATATGTCTTATTTCTTAAATCTTCAATCATCCAGACAACAGAGACCACACAAAATGAACAGATTTAATGCTAATGTACAATAAGCATTTATGCAGTAAAGAAATAATTTTCCAAAAACAAATGTTCTTACTTTCTGTGCCAAGTCAATAAAAAGGAATCAAATCCAACCCAGATCAATGAAGAAGTCACTAACCTGTCTTTCAATGGCAAACCTTTGAAGGATTTTGTCTTCTGGAGTCATTTTGGCATCATATTCTCCAAGGCGTCGGTCGATGAATTTGTTGGACTTGTTTTTCTGTTTGTATTCCTTCAGGAGAGTTTCTTTTCGCTGTAGATTAAAAAACAAAATAATATCATTGTTGAATATTTCAATCTACAATCTACTTAAAATTGGTTTGTAATTCCATTTGCTTAAAAAATCCTCTGTCAACATGGCACAGTGTTAAATCGATGGCATGTATGTAAATCCCACTTTGTGATTTTTTTTATGCAGAAAAAGCAGAAAATTCTAAAACCATGCACCATTTTTCATTAGCATTATCAAAATATTTTTTGGTTTGCTCTAGATGTTGCATCATGTATCAAACTGTTGACAAACTCTTGACAAACTTTCACTTGTCAAGACAAGTGAAAGACGAAGCAGCAACAAACAGATGATGGTAAATGTTGTAAATGAAAGGTTTGTGGCATCACCTTTTCTTTTCAAATATGTTCCTAGCAAAATAAACGTCTATATATATGATATAAAAGCATGTTAACAAAATTCCTCTTATCAAAATAAGGACATAATTTTAGTTAAATTATTACACAACATAAAAGAGCGACTCATAAATGAAATATAAATATGAAACAGGCTGTAAACGTGAAACAAGTCAGACAGTTGAGCTGATTCTCACCTTATTGATGGCTTTGGAACGGGATACTCCTGGCAGACCCACATCATGTTTGCTTTTCCTCCCCAGAACATCAAACTTCTTTCTGTTAATTTTCACCTCAAAAGGGTTGTTTTTGATCTCTGTGGCTGCTTTGGTTTTACGGACCTTGTCCGCAAGGCTCTTCTTTTTCGGAGCCTTCCCCATCTGCCGTGGAAGACAAACACAGTCATTGACTTTTCATATAACAGAGTTCATAAACCTTTTCATCAGTAAACTCTGCAATTCCCTACATTTTTAAAGTTCTGTGTCTTTTCTCTTTTTTTTTTTTGCCCGGTTTTCAAATACAAGTGCAGCAGCTAAAGGCAGACATTTTTACAACAGTCAGGCTGATCCTAGATTCTGCAGAAAAGAACACAAAGTAAGGAAGGAAATAAAAGACATATGACAGACAAATAAAAAGGATGGACGGATAAAACTTTAACAGATATTTTGACATACTTATCCGGATCTGGGAAACTTACATCATTTTCTGACCTGACCAGCAAAAATGAACAATGTAATTATGTTTCCTTTCAACAGTTAACGTGTCAGTTTAACAACACAATTATCAACCCCAGTCCATAATGTCAATGCGGCAGGTTAATGACGAGACTAAACATTAAATGACATGATTTGTTAAACTAAAACACCCCTTAGGGAAAACTGGTAATGTGTATACAGAAGTTAATGAACAAGAGGGGGAAACGTGTTATTTTCAGCTGCCGACAGCTTGTAAACATACAAAGTTTCAGTCAGAAAGACATGTTTACCTTCAGGTCACAGCGAGGAGTCGAGTTATTAAGCTCAAGTGGACAAAGATATCAAGCAGTGACTGCGGACAGTTTCATATATGATTGTTTGTGTCCACGTTTCTTCAGCAGGTTTCCATTTTCCAGCGTGCAGAGGAGGTCGCAATATCGAAAGTACTTCCTGTGGCATGTTTCCAACAGCGCCCCTAGCGTCAGAAACATGTCTCTTCCTTGTTTTTTTTTTTTTTTTTTTTTTTTTTAGGCACATCGACATTTTCACACTCCTTTCTCATCCTGAAAGGAAATAATTAAATTTTGTAGGTTTATTTAGATCACTTTCCAAGTATATTGTTGTACTTGTAAGGCAACTAAATTTAAATTGTTTCAATTGTTTTCAATTGTTGAAAGATACCATACTAATCTTTACTTCTATTTTCTTTTGGGACTAAAAAAATAATAAATTAAGCAAATACATTGCTGAAAGTTGCAATAGTGCTGGATGTTTTGTGGTAGTTTTGTTTTTTGTAAATAGATATTGTTTAAATATGTTTGGGATGAAAGGAGCAGATATTACAAGAATTTTTTCTTCTTTCTGCTGCCTTAAAATATATATTATTGACTTATATATTTTTGGTATTGTATATAATTTTGTTTTCATTTAAATGAATAAATGAAAGAAGTCTTATGTGCTAACACACATCAGATACTTACAGGTATAATAATGTAAAACTCTCAGTCAACCTTTTAAGGACTTTAAATTTAATAAACCGAGCATATTTTGGTTAGATGATGTGGGCTTTGATTGGGTGTTAACACTCAGTACTGCAGTAGCTTGGCAAAGTGCTCACAAGTGTCTGTTTTTGCTCACATTTTGTCAGAATGCAATCACCAACTAGAATATACTTCCTTGGCATTTTATGTTATAGACCTAGTAGAAGTGCTTTACCTTTACAGCAGAAAGGAAACTATGCATTTCAGTGTTGTTTTTTATACACAAAATTGTAAAAAGTGTGGCATGTACTGTAGTCATAACCATTTTCACCAATTCCCCCAAATATTTTTCCCATGCCAATCATGTTGGTTGTGGCTTCAAGTTTATCTGATGCAGGGACTGCTGCTGATAGAGTTAAAAGCGCTGCCATTCTGAGTACTATCTGAAATCCAATCAGACATGTCAAAATGATCTCGTCAAAGACCAGACCTAAAACCAATTAAGATCTGATGAACGACCTGTTAATTGATATTCAGAGATGCTCATTGTAGAGAATTGTATAGAATTGTATAAACCAATCACACAATTTCGTTTTTCATGGTAGTGTTTCTTTTTATTTGTCATTGTAGAATAGGTGGATCCATGACAACAGAAAAAAAAGTGGTGTAATAACATGGTAAATTGAGTAATAACCAAATATTTAAATTGGGAATAATTCAGACAAACACAAATCAGCATGATGAAACATAAAAAATAATAAACTAAGGCCGATTTAAATGAATACGAGGACATTAGTGGTGGTATTAGCACAAAAATGTTGAAATATAACCCAAATTCAGATTGAAGCCCTTCATTGCGATGCAAGTCAAACATATTTATCAGTGGCCAATTTCTTAAAGCACTTCAGGACTCTTTGTTAAAGCAGGATGAATAAAAACAACCTAAGATGGGCACAGAAAAATGGCCTGAATGTGAACATCAAACTGTTTTCTTTCCCATCGATCGGTTGCAAACAAAAGTTTTTTTTTTTTTCTCCAGTGTACATTTACGGTCAACATGTATTCACAGCCCAGGTTTCACAATTTATTTCACTAAGTAAACGTCTCATTATATGGTTATAAGACATGATTGAAAATGCAGCTTTGTAAGACGTTCTGCGTGAATAAATGGAACTGGATAAAAGCAGTATCTGGCAAAAGCTGTGGTTTTAGGACAGGAAAGGGGCCACAGTTCCCTCTCACAAAGAGCAATAATGGATTAATCTAATCTGAGACAAAACAACTAAAAACTAGATAGCTGCGCAGCTGCAGCTATCTACAACATACCTGCTTGTATAGAGCTTATAAAGTGAAACGAGAGCAAATACTAAAGTCATGATGAAACCATTAGAATTGAAAGAAAAAATACAAATGTACACATTCCTTCGCAATAAAAGGCTTGCAGCCAGTGGCAGATACATTGCATGAAGCCTTAGACTGATCAACAAGCGCAATGTTGGTTACAAACAAGGCAGGTCTAACCTTGCATAACAGAGTAGTGTTCTTACTTAATGTGGCCTGTAAGGTATTTGACCAGCATTAAATAAAGAACCATGTCGGTAAGCAATGCAATGCAAAAAGAGAAAAAAAAGAGAAGAAGAAAAAGCATTACATGTGGCTGAGATTGAACAATTTCATTGGAATTATTGCATTTTGGACAAGAGCATAGAACCATTCCAAAGTAGCTCGACTGCAGCTCTCCCGTCTGCTGACATGTAAATTAAATGAGTGCACAGCTTCAGGGATGCATGTATGAAATTTGTAGTCATCACTTGTCATAAATCTCCAGCAGCTCAGTGAGAGGCTAGAAGCTCCTCGCCTTGCAGCGACAGACATATTTAGATACAATCCCTATACATTCTAGTGGTTACATTGGTTAATGAAAAGAAGAAAAAAAAAAAAGCAACAAAACTCTCCCAACGTCACTAAGCATGTGAACCTGTAGTTATAGACATGCATAAACACCAGGTGGAGTGTATGAGACAGATTGCACTCACAACTAAAAGCCTTTAATAATTAAAAACCTTAATGCGATTATTTTTTACATTGTATACAAAATTGGCACACACTAATAAGCAAAAGCAGGTTAATAAGCTTGTAACAAAAGATACAAAAATAACCAAAGTATAATTGTGGAAGTGTGGCTCACTTGAAGAGTATACAGACAGAAAAACAAGAACCAAAATGAAGCCGAGGCCAGACTCATCCAACGTTCTCCGATTCAGGACTGTCTATTTTTTGTTTTTCTTTAGGAAGGATGGTGTGCGGAACTTCTTTTTCTTTTTGGAGGGGGATTTGCTGGGAGACTCCTCTCCTTCCTGGTCCCCAGCGTCAGCGGCCTCCTCCCCGTCAGCTGCCTCTGTGGTGGCAGCTGGTGGGGTGGAGTCTTCGACGGGCAGAGCCGGAGCCTCGGAGGGGTCGTCAGGGGTTAAATCTGGAAGGGTCTGTCTCAGGGTGGCTGCATCACTCTCATCCTTAAAGGTTTGTTCAGGCAACGACTCTAATGGGGGGGAGAAAGGGAGAGAGTTACAGATCGCTAAAGACATGTGACATGGTTATGCGACAGTAAAGTAACAACAAGGCACTTGCTGGTTAAGCGGTGAAATCCATACAATTTGCTATCTGAAAAGGACCAACTCCTGAGTTCACAAAGAAACTAGCAGCTTGAGTCTAAATAAAAGTCACTCACTCCCACAGGTAACATTCTATCAAAAACCATAAGCGTTTAGGATAAACACACATTATAATAACTAATTCACTGTCAGTCTACCTCAGAACAAAGTCAAGAACACTCCATTAAAATCACAAATAAATTACAAAGCTCTCCTTCAGAAGTGCCAATAAGCAACATAACAGACGAAACAATCGCCAGCATTTCTTCTTTCTGACGTTAAAGCTTGTGCACACATTTCTTGTTTGTTTTACCTTCACTTAAACAGGGAAATCTTAATGACTGCAGTTCTCTTGTTCATTTGTACCCTGTGTACAAACAGAATAAAGTGGAAAAAGAACAGAACAAGTACTGGTGAAAGTCCAAAGATTTAACAATGTTTCAATATAAAAAAAATAAGAGACAACACGAACAAGTCAACTCTGGAGCCATTCTCGTTAATGGCTCATTAGTCATTCATGTAGTCATGAATTATAAAATCACAAGACTGTATGTAGGTTACGCATTAAAAGCGCCGGGAGTTAAGAATTTGAGTTCCCCATTTTGTTTTTTCCAACCAATCTGTTGGAGTGCAGTAGTTCTCAGGAAAATATACATGGTAAACTAGCATGAAGTGAGATTTTTAATATATATTTAAACATGTACTGCTGCACCCAATAGGTGTAAAACTTTAAAAGTATCTAAATTGTGCAGCAGTCTGACAAAATATGATAACATGAGATTTTAGCACAGTTTTCTTGAGGATGGGGAATGAAGAAAATCTATCTTTTGTCTCCAATAAAAGCTTCAAGAATCATAAACTTTAACTAGTGTAGAATATTGGTAGTTTTTATGACTGCTTTCATCCAAGTTGGCTCTCATGTCAAAAAAGCAATATATTTGTAATTACATTACAAGTATTATAATTAGTGTGAACTTTGTCTTGATCTGATACGACTAAGACTTTCTTTTCCACACTGCATAAACATTTCTTTATTTTGTCATTTAGTTTATTAACGTAATTAGCTCCATTTTGTCTTAATGCGTAATGTTATGCAGAGTTTGATGAAGTACAATTTGAATTTCTTTTTTTTTTTAAACAATTTTCTATATATGAGTAAACATTTAAGAGGAGATTTGACAAGAGGAAGTCAGGGAAACGTCATATTTTAAAACATTTCACTGTTCTTCAAGTGCAATACACTTTTTTTTAAATCAAATTCAACAAGACCTAATTTTAAACAGCTGATGTCACTACAGACTAAAATGTTTTTTTTTTTCATACCGAGCAGCTCAATTTGTAGATATTATATATATATATATATATATATATATATATATATATATATATATATATATATATATATATATATATATATATATATATATATATATAAAATACATAAAAAGAACTATACAGCTCTATTTTTGAAGTGGAGTCTAAACCATGAAAAGCATTTTTTCTGTCAATCCGTCCATAACCCCATTCAAAAAATACTCCAAAGACAGACAGACGCCTGCAGCATCCAGATGGTCAGCTTGAAAACAACAAACAGCATCCACAACAGTCCCAAAAGCTGCCAGACAACAACAACGACGTTATTCTTTTTTAGTAGAGCCCATGCGAAAGAGAGAGACCAGTATGAAACAGGACCATAGAGAGCTTTTAGCAGCGTCTTCACTTAACAACTCGAGTCAGTCAGAACAGCAATAAGATCAAACACCACAGACAGACAGACACTGGAGACCAATGAACAAACAGCCAGCCTTCAACAACCAGGTTTCAAGCTAAACCGAATAGCAGCCAGTTTGCTTGGAAAGCTTCACTCAAAGCACTGCTGTACCTGGTAAAGGAAACGCCTGCAGGACAGACAATATTTCAACACAATTTGAACCACTGAAAGATTGTTTTTAATGAGACAGAAATATACATTTAAAGAATGTGCCGATGTGCAAGAAAGGTTGGTTAATTTCAGAGTGAGTAGTTGTCAGGAGGAAAAGAGGTTACCTAACACAAAAGAGTGAGCAGGCTGTGAGGTTTACTTCATGAGTCGCTCCACAATACCAATTTAACAGATGTGTAAAAATATGACTTACAATATGATTTTTTGTTTCTTTTTGCCACGTTGACATACTTTTTCTAAATAATAATAATAAAATAAACGGGAAGACATAGAAAGAGAGACGAGCTCTGAAATAACCCCCACCAAGCCCAAATTAGAAATTCAGAGGAGAAAGAATAGTCAAACCCCAGCAAACAAGTTAGTCTGGACAAAGAACCAAATCTGCTACTGAAGTCATGCAAAGAAAAACAGGGTAAATGAGCAAACAAACATGGAGGGGTGAGCAGTAATTAGAGGAGTAGCAAGGAGCTGGAACAGTACATACTTACTATGGCAACAGGTACTCTTTTGTATTTCCATCTCCTGATTGTAAACGCAGCCACAAAGAAGAAAAAGCACAAGTAGAAACAAATGTCTATGCAGATCAAACCACAAGCAATATGGTAAATAAAAAAAAAAATTAAAAAAATTGAGAAAATAACTGAAGGTCGAAAAGAACAAAAGAAAAGGGGGGACCATTCTTGGAAGACCCCAAAACAGATGGAGAATGGCAGTGAGAGGAGAGACTGTACAGAGACGTTAAAAACATTTCTGTATCAGATTACACCAGTAATCAGAAGCTGTATGATAAAAAGACAAATGAAGTTTTATTTTTACAGCCAGTTCCAGTATCATCACTGATGATGCTGATAAAGGTGTAATCCAACAGTAATAAAGACCAAGAGGGATAACAATAATCAAGCAGTGAAATTCCTGTTTGAAATATGCCCTGCTGCTTTTCTCAGCACATTTGCATGCAAATTTTATTGAGAAAAATCAACTCCTCTTGGGCTTTTATTACAGAAACACAAACCTTGTAGTAGTATTAAAGAGCACAACAGACCCAAAGAGAGAAGAGGCAGGTGCAGAGACAGGAGCCTCTACAATCCATCTGTAAGTCCTGAACACCAGAGCTGAGAGAAACCCCATGCCAAACCAAGCGACTTTGTTAACGCCGTCAGGCTAACATACCTTCTTCTGCTCTGACAGGAGTACTCGGTGGTGTGGATGTGGGTTTTGGGTCTTTGTCATCCTCCTCAGCCTCTACTTGTTGCTCTGGATCTGAAAGAAACATCCACAATAAGAAGCCACTCAGTGCATCTGCAGTGCTTGTCACATTTGTTGGCAGCCCTGACAAAGGTGTGTAAAATAAGCTAATCTTTTATTGCAACAGAGAGCGTAGTTTTGGGTCTTTCAGTTGATCATACAAGCAGCCCATTTGTGGGTTTCTACGACAGAGAACTCCAACAACGTTCTTAAAGGCCTCATCTCACCTATACCCACAGTTAAAGTCACAGAAGACTTCAGCAAACTTTACTTGTTTACATCTGTGATGGTACGACAAAAACAAAGCAACTGCAGATTACGTCAAATGGTTATTATGAAGAAATTGAAACACCTGGATGTCATTTTCTTGCTACAGCTCCCCAACAATTAGCTTTGGAGATTTTAAAGTATTTGGTGTAGTACAGTTCCATTTGTTTTAAAATGTCTATTTATCTTGCATCCGTTTCCTGACTTATTAAGACGACCTATCATTTGGATTGAATCTTGTATTGTCTTTCATATTCTGAACAAACAATATTATATTCTAGTTTATCTGAAAATAATCAAATGCGGTTGAACTTAAAATAGCAAGGTTGAAACATTGGTGTAAAAATAATAAAAACCATGGCTTATCTTTCAACTCACTGAAGAAATGTCCCATTACATTTTTCTTCATTGTGACATTATCTTACAACAATACAATCTTAACCTATTTTACACATCCTTACCACTTGCTGCCATTAAGTGTGGCAGCAAACTCTCCTTAAAGTTTTGTAAGACCAAAACTTTAGAGAGAATTCTTTTAATTTATAAATGTCGAAAAATATTGTCAATCAGCTTGTTTCAATAGAAAAGAAGGAGAACAACATTAGGACTCAAAAACCAGGAGAAAGACAAAAAAATAAATAAATAAAAAACAAAACAGAAAAATATTTCAAACCTTTCCAACAAAAGCAAAACTAAAACTCCAAAACCAGTTTCCAACGATTATGTTATGGAAATAAGAAAGGACAGATGACAACATAAAGAAGACATTAGCAGGAAGAAAAGGAATCCATTTATTTTCAGAGTAGGTGGGTTTAACACGTTTTCTCTGATGTCTAATAATCTGATTGGATGACCAATCTTAGGAACTGCATCTTCACATTTCACTACAGAAGGACTTTCATTACACGAGGAGAGAGGAACTCCCAAGCATCCTCTCTCCTCTGCTTCGTCCAATCAAACTGCAGAGAAGGATCAAATGTGCCAAAGCTTTGATGCCTTATGTCAAAACATCAGAGACGGGCATTCAGGGTAATAAGAGGGACCCAAAACAACCAGGAAGAGCCTTCGGAGATGAAATACGGGAAAGGAAAGAGTTTGCACATTGTAAAACAAGGGCAGCAGCAGACTCCAATCCCTCAGAGGGAGGAGAGGAAACAGCAGGCAGGAATTCCCATGAGGTGGTAAGTAGTAAGACAAGCCCGGGATGAGCAGGGAAGGGAGTGGAAGGCCAGAGTTTTTTTGGGATGTCTTCGTTTCGTCTGGTGTACCTGCGGCCTGACCTCCCTCTGCCGCTTCCACATCCGGCGGGTTCTTGATGAGGGCTCGCACCACAGCGCTGTGGAACTCCTTGTGTGGGGAGTCAGGAGCTGACAACATCTTGTCAACTGCTGAAAGCGCATCATCTACTGCCGTCGCTGCAGAATCGGCGACGCTGCTATCAGGCTGGGGGGAAGGAGACCCTTGAGAAGAAGCAGGAAGCTGGGTTTCCTCCAAGCCGGATGAATCAGTTGGATGAAGAGAAGTGGACAATGTAGTTTGACCCGATGATACGGCTTCTGGGTCTGGTCTGGGTGGGTTGGAGATTGATCCTTTAATACTGTTCTTCTGTTGTTGCACTGTAAATCCATGTTTTTGCATGTTGGTGTGGAGAGATGACATTGTTTGGCCATGCTGAACAATGAGGTTGAACAAAGGCATTATATTTTATCAAGCAAAAGTTAAAACTCTAGTTTTAATGAACATGCCCATTTGTAATATGCTTCTTTAGGACACCAGTCACATAAAGAAGTGTAATTTGTGTCACTAAACGGCACAGAGTGAGTTCCTTTATTCATATTTTAAAATTTATTCATACTCATTGAACACACTCATTTGAAAAAATAGTGAAACTCACAATCCCAACAACATATACAGTTTTGGGGGGTGTCAAACATCACTAAGTGGAGTTCATAGTGACAATGATAAATCTGAATTCTTTCATTATTCATAATTTATCAGGATAAATAGGCCTGCCGCAATAAGCAATAAATCAACTAATCACATGATGGATTAAAACAAACTAAAAATGTTATTTGCATAATTTCTATAAATTATGCAAATGTAATTTGCATAATTTATAGTTTTTCTTTCTACCAAACCGTGGATGATAAAAGTCTTCAGTCTGGTGCATTTGTCTCAATGAGCCCTTATTTTCAAAGGACAATTTTGTATACGAAAACTTCATAATTCTTTTTATTTGTCGTTTCTGTTGCAATGTTAATTTATGTTGACTAGTTAAAATGTCTTCCAGTTCCAGTGTCAAATGGTCATTAGAATTTAAAGTTTATTGATCTTTGAGAAAATGTTCTTGCATTATTATGTCATTACCATTCTATTTGAAAATGTTCACACAGTAACAATATTATCATTTATTGTACTGACTTCTGGTACAACTTATAGTCCAACAAAATTTGTTATTGTGACTGGACTAGCAATAAATGATAAGATGAAAGCCTCATAGTTTTAAACGATTTAATTACAGAGCATAAATAACGAGTGATTGCAGAAATCACTGATTTGTACGGAACTCATTATCTAAAGCGTAAAAGTTGTAGATAAGCTTGCATTGATATCAGAAAATAATTTTTCACAGTTAAAAAAAAAGGTTAACTATGGTTACAGATTTATTTTTTTTTGGTTTCATTTGGAGATTGTCATTTAAACGATGTTGGTGTGGTCTGCCTGCCGTGGCACATTTACCTTCACCTCCTTTCTGTTTCTGCTCCACTTCACGGCGGTATTCTTCCAGCTCCTGGTCGGTTAGCTTATTGAAAGGGTTCGGACCAGTCTTGCTCACAATAACCTTGGGTTGGTACTCCTTCTCAATAATGGCCTTGGATGCAGTCACCAGCTCACCCTTCAAGACACACAAGTGAGAAAAAGAAGTCGGCTTCAGAGGATGGGGTCGTTCTGAGTACAGCTAAGTGAAGAAAACTGTCTGCAGAACCAGAAGGCTGGAAACAGAGTTTGAGAAGTGGCAGTCAGTAACACTCAGCAGCTTCTGTGGCTGCTGATTCTCCACTGTCCAAAATATTCCAGACTTTAATACGGGTATTTAATTTCTCACCAGAAAAAAAAAAAGAAAGAAATATAAATCACAGAGAGAACTTCAATAAGAATAAGAAGAATGTTTTTAAGAAGAGTGTTGGGAAAGGAGTCACCTGCTGAGACTGAACGACTAATCAAGATGCGTAGGATGTGGGCATCCCCTGCACCAAATTTATCCTGAAATCAGTATCAGACTAAAAACCTTTTTTTACATAAAGTTAGAAGTGGATTAATAAATAGTCCAAACATTTAAGCTTCGCTCAGTCAAGATACCTTGACCTTCTCTAATTAAGTTGTCACAATTAAAAGGGGGGAAAAAAGGAATGGTGATAGTCAAGGAAATTTCTATCTGAAATTGAAAAGTTTGAGAATAACTTACAACTGCAAAAAGTACAAAAACAACATAGCTTTTTGCTCTGACTCAGCAGATTCCAGATCCATGCACCAATTTAGTCTCAATTCTCTTGCTAATTATTTCTCAGAAGAGTCTTTACAGAAAATCTCTTCCTGTGTTTTCCACCCGAATAAGATTTGCAAGCAAAAACATAACTTTACACATTTTAATATTGTATTTCACTGTTATTTTTAAGCCAGAATACTTAAGTAATTCTTAAGGCATCCAACAAATTTTTTCCCCCACTGAAAATTTAACCCAGTACCAAATTTGGACCAAAGTTGGCCAGACTTGTGTATCGCACTACAGGGTCAAATAGATTTGTGATTGGAGCAGTAAGTACCTTTCTAATTGTTTTAGCAGGACTATAGGACCCCTCGGACACATCAAGGCCATCAATAGTGTCTGTACAGTCAGACAGAGGGGCATCCTGCAATAGCAAATCATGTAAAGAGGGGGAGCACAACCGAGTACATCCAAATAAGCAGTCACACTCACACAACCGGGGGAAAGAGTACAGCAACATCCCACAGAACATATCCTTAAGCAGAACAAAGAAAACATTTTAATCTTGAAGATTAAGTAGTTCTGCAGGATTTTTCTTTAGCAAGTCAAAACGATGCTCATTTTCTAGGGGGTCCTCATTTTAGCTAACAATATGTGAACTGACTTTCCACTGTTGCATTTATATATATGTACAAGTATCCAAACCCCTTGAGCCATTTTAACATGTTCGTACGTTAATTTTTTTTAATGTATTTTATTGGGATTGTGTGGGATAAACCAACATAAAGTAGCTAATAATTGAACTGAAGTGAAAGGAAAAATAGATACAATGTTTTTATTTTTCTCAACGTAAAAATCTGAACTGTGTGGTGGGTAGTCTTTTAAACCCACTAAGGCCAATAGATAAATTAAAATCTTATGCAACCTGTTGCCTTTGAAAGCATCCTAAATAATAAAGAGAGTCCACTTGAGTGCAAGTTAATCCCTTTAGAAATACATGTGTTGTGTGAAGGCCTCTAGGTTCACTGGAGAACATTCGTGAACAAACTGTCAAAGACCACAGAACACAGCAAAAGGTTCAAAGACCACAGAACACAGCAAAAGGTTATGGATAAAGTTGTGGAAAATCTGGAAAACACTTGAGACTGGCACAGAGGGTCATCTCAAGTTAGGACAGCAGCACTAAACTGTATGGCTTATGTCAATGCATATGGCATTACAATGGCCTAGTCCAATCCTACAAACTATAGACTGCAGCAGGACTGTTTTGTTTTTGTTTTTTCCACAGATGCTCTCCATCCAATCTAATGGAATTTGAGTGATTTTACAAAGAAGAATTGATATCAAACAGATGCTACCTTTTATGAATCACTTCACCATTGTTCACTTTGTTGTGTTGGTCTGTCAGATAAATTCCCAATAAAATACACCAAAACTTGTGGCTATAACATTAAAAAAAATGTGCAAATTTCAAGGGCTATGAATACATTTTTGAAGCACTTGCATACCCAAGTATACTAAAACCATTTGAGGGAATACATGCACACAGGAACCATTGTAGAAAAATTGAGTCACATTATGAAAAGCATGACGGCAGAGAAAGTGGTAGCCATTATTAGCATGCCTTTCAAACTGTCAACACAAGATGATGGTCAACTCTGGTTGGGGTATAGGAGACTTTATTGTTCATGCCTCATAAGATGTCACTACTATTGCACTGACTTAAACCTAAAAATCCAAAGACAGAAAGAGGATAAAGTCCAATTCCCCTCCAGGAAAACAAAAAACAAATGGCGAAAACATTCACAGCATCTTGAACCTGAGCCATGCAAACAGAACTAATGAGTCAAGACTTCATTTTATGCAACCTTTTCAACCCAAGAGGGGGAAACCTTGCACATGCATGAAAAAATAAAAAATAAAGAGAACCGTTGCTTAGTAATAACAAGACCTTTTGTTTAGTATATCAAAACTAAAAACTCCAAAGGTAGTAAATGTAGCTGTGGTGCTTAAAGGACAGAACAATGTTGCTAAATAAATAAAATTGGGTATGAAAATGGATGCATTCTGAGCTGTCAGAAATATGGAAACCAAATCATGTTTACCTTTCCCACACATTACTCACCTGCAAGAACGACAATCTCTGTGATCAAAAAATAATGTCATAATTATGAAGTCCCCCACATCCTAACAACAACACAGAGGACTTTTTATTCTCCAATTAGGAAATAATTTTAGTAATTAATATTAAAATATTGGAATTAAACTGATTTTAAAGTTTCTTTCAATGCAGCTCAGTGTCCAGAACAACTTCATGCGCATTGTTCTGATATTGTTTAGATTCAGACATACCTCCTGACCTGGATTGAGAGAATGAGAAAATTTGCTTTTAAGTTGTCTTAAGGGACAAGTGACTCAAACCATATTTATTAGCATCCAGTCCAGGTCAGGAAAGTTACAGCAGCGAAGCATGGAGGCGTTAACGTCACACACTGACCTGGTTAAAGGTCCGTTCCACCACAGTGCCAGCACACAGAACCTGAGACTGGGGTCCTGCAGTCTTTATGTCCTGCAGGTTCTGCTCCCGGATCTAACAAACAAAAAGACATTTTTTATCTGGTTAGAGCGAAACATATGTTGTTGCAGAGCTTCAAAAAATGCCAGTTGAATAAGGCGACATTTAACTCCACAAAAACACTCCAATACCTTATTCCTCATTTCTAGGACTTCCTTTGGATCGGTGTTCAGTGGAATAAATTGATTGGCTACTCCAGCCTGGCGAAGGCTTTCTTCTTTAGTCCACTGTAAACACGATGTAAAGTGTTAAACAGTTAAAACAGGAACACCGAATGGCAAGAAAAAATAAAATAAGACTAGCACAAAAATATATGTAGACATAACTCAATGCAGGCCTTACAAATCATGCAAAATAAAAATCCACAAAGTTTGATGACTTTTTTTTTAAAGTGAGTCAATGATGATGAATATTTAGCTGGGTTTTAGCATGTTTTATTTTTATGAGCCTAGAAAATCTATAATATTTTTTGAGGATTAAATAATTAGGCACATGTGGGAATGAGTTACCTACCCATCACATCAGCTGTTCTGAAATATCATCTTAAGGACATTGTAAGAATTTTTGCTCTTTAGGCAGCACGAGGCAGAGCATTAAATACATTATTTTTGATTCAGGGAAGTATTTGGATATCTTATCTTTTCATTTCCTTATTTTAATATCTTCACATGTTATTGATTGAAAAGTATCTTGGCTGCTGAAAACTAAGAGACAGCAGAACACGCAACTTTACATTCAAATTTGTGATAGTTTTTTTTTTCACCCATTGGGTAAATAGGTTTCACAATACTATATGAAATATTTACTAATGAAAGTAATAGAGGTCACAGATAATGGAATACAGATAATGACAATACACATGGAGTTAAAATGCTTAAGTTATTTCTTAGTTTTTCTAACTCAAGAGTAGGCTTAATTCCAATCACAAAAAATAGCAATATCACTACTTTTTAAATTCTGAAATTGTACTCAAATTATTTTTGTACTTTTTATGGCCACAATAATATTTGTGGTAGTGTATTCATTTTAACTTACAAAAAACTGGAACTAAATCAGCACCAAATGTTTTAAAATGCTCCATACTGGAAAATATGTAAATATGTTTCAATTCAGGTATCAGACCCTGGAATTTGAGTTTGAATCTCATATCTGAGCAAATGATAAGCCTTGTTCATTAATAAAGTAAAAATCTCTGAAAATAATAATTGGAGGCCGTGGTATACAAGTGATGCTTGTTTCAAGCCACCAGATTTATCAGTTTATATGGTGGGGTTTGTCTATATGCATGATTTCATGAATTCTACTAAGAAAATTTCTGCTCCTGAATCCACTTCATGAAAAAAATTATAATACAATTTATCACTGGTGTTTTGTAACAATGGAAGTCGTTTGTCATCATCATTGATCTACCATTTGAACTAAAACCAAACTGAATCACACAGAAAATCAACTGAAGACAAATAACAGTATGAGTCAACAGAAAGAAAAAAAGAAAAGGGCTAGGGCAGTGTGGGGAGATGTGAGGGCGGAGTGGTGGCTGGGTGGGTGACCGAGACGATGAGGCTGGCTTACGAAGCGAGAGTGGCAGTGAGGGGTGAGCTGGCATCACCAAAGTCATTTCCCAGGCTGATACACAACAAGGACAACAAAGATAAGAAAGAAACACACCCGAGAACACTCTGCCATTTTGGGACAAATGGGAGCTACCATCACAACGCAAAAAACAAAGAGCATCCTCTTTGCACAGGATGAAATCTGTCAAAACCCTGTGCTGGGTTTATAAAATTTGTGTAAACTTGGTAATGCTCAGAGTGATTAAAAGGGAAATTATTCATCCATTTTTAGCATTAAACGGAATGAGCAGCAAATGAAGATAAAACACCAACTTTCATGCCACCTAGTGAACTATTTTAACGTAAGCATGTAACTTGCAGTGGGGAGCAAAAGCTCATGACTTCATTCCTGTGTTTACTCCAAGTTTGATTGCATGGTGGCCAAACCAGAAGAAGAGGGGGCAGGCTAGATGAGGAAAAGGTGCTGGATGGGTACAGCAGGGTTGGGTTGGTTGAGTATGAGATGAACATGTAAACATGGTATACTCACTGAGAAAGAGTCTCACAACATAACATTTCCTACTTTCCCAACAGGAGATAATTGATTCAAAAAGTCAAGTCAGATTTTATTATGTCTTTTTTGTTATTGTTTTCTTAAAACAAATTCAATCATGCAGGCACTGAAGATTTTATAGAAGCTGCTTTTCAGAATAAAACTAAAACAAAAAATTTGAAAAAAAAAAAAAAGTTAGAGGCAAAATATACTAGGAGTAGCAGGAAAAAACAAATAAGCAGGTTGCACGAAAGCTTTTTCTGACTTAGCCACCCAACAACTCCTGGAACCCCCGCTATAGATGTGTAAAAATACCTTCCTCTTATTGTAGCAGGACAATTTACACAAAAGAACAACCTGTAACTATCTTTATCAACTGCAAAATTGATGCCAATCTTAAGATTTTTGTAACAACTAAAAGTAGTGAGAATTAAACTAGAACTGTGAGCTTCTTTGCAACAAACACTCCAGACAGGTCTTGGTTGAAACAAAAGACAATTTGGGGAGAAAATGACTCATGGCAAGTAGTAGGTATGGTGGAAGATCTGCAATGCTGTGGGAATTTTTCATCTTTTGAAGGCCTGAGACTGTTTCATAGAGTATGGGATCATGAACCTGTTGACATTCTTGAATATTTTGAATAGAGATCTTGGAAAAATAGTAGAAACTGTAGAAACTAAGTAGTGCACGAAAAAGGAACAGCAGCTTTGGGTAATCAAGAGTCCTTAAAAGATTGTCCTCCTCCCCATCTCCCTAGTATCCAAAACAAATAAAAATTTACGGGTAAATTAAAAATAAATACATCTGTGTGAGAATACACAGATGATTTCATTTGAAGGCTTTTCATACATCTACACCAGAGGTGCCAAAAGCTTTGTAAGGTGATAAAGCTACAACTTTCAGTTTCAATCATATTTTTGTCACTATACCAGAAAAAAACTAAATATTCTCAGAGGCATGCCCGTTTCCATTGGTTCCATGAAAAGTCTATTAATTAAAGACTCGTATTTACAGGAAAGCGACGTGCATCTTCAGCAAATTATTTTTAATAATAGTTGGATTCATTTTTAAGAAACAAAGAAAGTCAACATCAAGATGCAAAGAAAAAATAAATAAATTGTTGCCATCGGGATGAGCAGATTGTGTGGTGAGCAGCAACGTCCCTGTCTTGCTGCATTCACCTTCCTACCTGAGGACTCATGCCACACCCCTGCTGCTCGCTCCTCTGGGAAAAACATCAACACGTACAATGCATTTCACAACAAGACATGCTGTGGGGCATGCTCTGGGCAGCTGGCCCGGCATCGTGAAGCTTTTGGAGACCAGAAGGAAACATAGAGGGTTGATTGTGGATCGCCAGGCTTTTTGTGAAAGTTTATGACATAATTAACCATTGATTGATATTCAAGCTTTACTTTTCTGTTTTAGTCTCCCCAGTCCCTCAGGATGCCAAACAACTACCCAAAGCTACCAAGAAGGTAGCTGTAAATTCTATACTATGAACAATAAGGTAGGCACAGACCAAGCAGTTGGTTATACAGCTTGGCACGCAGACACCGGACGAGAGAGACTGCAGCAAGGGTTTGACGTGATCGTGTGTTATGTTCGTCCACACCTTAGGCTTCGACTTGGGGCTGGTGCCGTCGGGCCCGTCCTCGTAGGGCTCGTCGGGCCGGCTGCCGGCATTGACCCAGCGGGTCTTGTCGCGCTGGCCGCGCTGGAAGCTGTGTTTCAGCGGGGAGCGAGCGCCTGAGTCGCTGTCCTCCCCATAGGAGTAACTGCCGTGGGCGGAGGAAGCGAGCTCCGCGTCACTATACTTTTTACCTTTGTCACGCAGAGCCGGGCAGCGGTAAGGATAGCCCGTCCTGTAGCCCTGGAGACATGGAGAAAACAACAGGAGTTATAAGTTAAAGTTGATCCTGAGAACATTTCATTCAATAAGTTAGAAAATTACTGAAAAGTACGTTTATTTCAGTAACTCCATCACCATCACATAAAACACATTAAAGAGATTAGAGAAAGACCGATGTCTTAGCGTCTTTATTTGGTCTGCTGACAGTTATCAGTTAATGAAAAAATATTAAAATTTTAATATTACATCACACCAACAAAAAATATGTTTTCAAAAACATACAGGTATATGTTTAATACATATACCTGTATGTTTAATACTTGCTTAAAAGTTACATTCAAAAAGTACTGTTAATCAGACAAAAGAGACTCATTGAAACATATGTTTCAATTTATTGAATATGAATGCAGAATATTTTGAGAAATCAAAGTAAAATGTTATACTTCAAATATAAAAAAAAGAAAAGAAAAAGTGCTTTATGATCTAGAAGTGTTAATTTTTTCCCCCCATATTTTACTCAACCATTTTTTCAGGTATTGATTAGCATGACCTCCTGGTGCCATCACAACAAATTTGTACCATTCAGGTGTATAAGAATATAAAGACCAGTTTTGAGCAGTAAACCTTGTAGCAGCATGCGCACGTTGTTCTTACCAAATTGTCGAGCATTCTCATGAGAGCCTCAAACTCCTGCTCCCCAATTTGCCACTTGGGGTGTGTTGACGACCCGTCCCCTGCTGGCTCAGGGACACGTGGCCTTGATTTATACTTTGCAGGGTCCAGCATTACCAGATTGTCGGGCCCTCCAGCGCTGGCCAGTGTTCGCACCTGGAAAACATTGAGGTATACAAGGAGACATACCAGACAGATCCAGAGCAGAGAGAAAAATGAACAAAAAGGTGGAAAGTGGGACGTAAACAGCAAGGATGTGCAGCAAACAGCAACAAGAAGAAAGGAGGGGTTATGGGGAGACAAGAGAGAAAGTAGTGGTTATGGGACAAATAAAGTTGTTTTATTGATTGCAATCTTTCCATGTTGCCCATTGGAAAGATTGAACAAATAAAAACATAAATGAATTTGATGACTCGTTTGTTAAAGCGTAATCTATCAAATAAAGTAACTTTACAGGCCTCAGGTTAGACCTACCTGGATTTCACAGGCAGTCACCAGGTTGTGGATGTAATAGAAAGCCTCCTCAACTGTTTCTCCAATTGACACCAAGCCATGATTCCTGAGGATGAGAACCTGACAGAAAGACAAAAACATCTAAGTCACATAGCTCAAGCTTTGCTCGACTTATTTTTGCTTTCACGTCTTGGAGGTACCTTGCTCTTCGGCCCAAGGCTCTTCTGTATGAGACCTCTTTCTTCGTCATCCACTAGTATGCCGTGGTAATCATGATAGCTCACTTCCCCGAGGGACAGAGCTTCAGGTGAGATAGGCAACAGCCCACATTTCATGGCTGACACCTGCAGAATAAGCACAGAGTGTCATGAAACATCTCAACAGCAATTGGCAGTACATTCCTTGTTAAAGACATTGTGCGCACTTACCGCTGCACCTGCTGCTGTGTGTATATGTACAATACACTTGACATCAGGCCGTGCAGCATAGATGGCAGAGTGGAGCATGAAGCCAGCCTGATTGACCCCCAGGTTGGTGCTTCCTCTGTCTACAATCTCACCTTGAAGATTTATCTTTACCTGAAAGTGATTCAACATGAAAGACTGTTGTCTTGTGGACCTCTTTCACTCAATTCACATCAAAGTGTGAGGAAAACAACGTATCTTAAGTTGTTTAAAAATGTTGAAATTCTAATAAATGCCTACAGTGAATCTTACCAAACTAGAGGCGGTGACTTCACTGTAAAGGAGCCCAAAGGGAACAACGAGGAAGCGTTCCTGGTCTGAGTTCACTCTGACCTACAGAACAACAGATGTGAACGTTAAGTTATAATTCATTATTCCTGATCCAATCCCAACAATCCCAGGAAGGTGCTGCAATGGCTCTTTGCAGAGTCCTGACTAAAATGGTTATTGAAAACAGTAACATTTTAGTTGCCGTTTTATTTTGTGTTTAAATATAAACATCACTTGTAGCTTACTGAAATGGATAAAAACTACTCTTCACAAATAATATGGAAGTCGTTATTCAAATGAGCTTTAAGGGAATACTTACTTACCTACAACCTACCTACTTAACTCTATATTTTACTATTTTGAAAATCAACACATGTGAATTAATGAGGCTTTAATGTGAAATTACTACTTTGTGTAATCCTAGCATCAAGATAATTTGAGATGGAAACCATTTCTTTTTCTTAAAGCCCAACCAAATCAAAGTTATCACAACTAAAACTTTACATACATGCAAATTAATTCCAATCTAAATTTATTTAGTAAACTGCTGGGTTGATAAAGTTGCATGTGAGAGCAATCTTACTGTGAGGTGGTTATAGATGAGCTCAGACCATCCGAACAAGTCAGCGAGGCGGTAGAAAGCAGCCAGTTTGCAGCGGAGAAGCTTCTCGCCCTTGTCGTAGGAAATGGAGTCTGAGCCTCGCAGATCATTGACTGGTGTCACCATTCCCAAACCTACGGAGAGAAATGGGCAACATGGAAAGATTGCAATCAATAAAACAACTTTATTTAATTCAGTGCAGTTCTACCTCCAAAGGTATTTTACAAAACATAAGTCAATTATACACATTGTGATAAAAAAAACTCTGCAGTCTAGTTCCATTTTTATGCAAATTGATGTAAGGAGGCTCTGCCATGCACAACACTAAAAGAAACGAGGAAAACAACTTATTATGCTTAGTGAAACACAACTGGTGTCATTGTCCTGCAGTTAATTATGACATACTCCGCATTTCTCATTGTGAGTGCAGACTCAGTGCTGAGGTCAGAAAGTCCTCTACAGTCACTCATTCCTGCTTACTCATGTTGAGCGCTGCCATGCCTCCTTGTGGTGCAGCTGGGTACATGGAAGGCATGCTGGTGGTCATGAAGTCTGCGATCTGCTGCAAGGCCAACAGACTGGTGGGCGTCTTCCCCTTCTTCAGCTGATCCTGGATCATCGTCTCCAACTCTTCACAAAAGGCCTGTCAGTTGCATACAAAGAAGATGGTTTTAAAGTTGCCAGCTTGTGCATTATAGTAAATTTTAATATTCCCCGATTGATTTGATTAGCAAGGAGTAGAAATAGACTGACGGGGCTCTGAAGAATCATGGAGACCCTCTTTCTCTGCTCCATCATATTGAAGTCCTGCCGCAGGTCCGGCGCCATGTTTCTCTCCCTCTGGTACTCGGGGCTGCTCTCATCCACCCGGTCGAAGTACCGCTCCTTGTGTGGGACGGTGGTGGGAGGGGGGGCCGTCACCACCCCGGCACCTGACTCGCCATTCATCCTGAGTTGGCCTCCTGCAGCAAAAAAAAAAAAAATAGACAAGCCTTAGCATTTTCTATTGCTGCGTCATGAACACTGTAGTGTGTCATCACAGAATAAAATATGAGAGATTAACCAGAGTCTGTTAGGAATGAGACAATATTTTTCCAATTTTTGAGTAAGCATATATCTGAATACTAAACTAAACCCTTCTTAGCAACCTTTCAAAGATTAATGTTCCCTTCTGGCTTGCTGCTGGACTAAAACCCATTAAGCATGAGCTTTAAGAGTCACAGCCTTTTTCAAATTGCTTTTATTTCTACACACACACTGGGTATATTTTCTTATGTTTGTGTGCACAAAGGAATTAAAGTAGGGTTGGACGAGATTCTTTGGTTCTGAACACTGCACAAAAAAGGATTGTGCAAAAAAAAATAAAATAAAAATTATCCTATTTTCAGGACATACAGGCTCCCAATTTCATAGCAAATTTCTCATTTCATAGCAAATTTTACACCGATAGGTAAGATTTTCCAGGTAAATTGAAATAAAAAAAAATGATATTTGAGACACCCGCTTATCCTTGCAGAGTCCCAGGGGAGCTGGTGCCCATCTCCAGCTGTCATTGGTCGAGAGGCGGGGTATACCAATGACAGGATGCTCAGTGAACCCACTCCCTCTCCTACTCATGCAGTTGCTTTTTCTAGTTCATAGAAGTTCTGATTGAGTCCTCTATGAACTAAAACAAGTTAGTTTAGCGCAGCTGGTCAATAATTGGCAAAGAAACTCCACAAAAATCACACAAATCAAGATTTAATCACTGCAGTGCAGTAGTTCTTTACCAGTTGACTGTTTTTTCTTTGTCATGGCATTGGCTTTACTAATCTGCTATAAGCAAAGGAATGAATAATTTATAAACATTATATGCTCCATTTGTTCACTGCTGAAAAACAATCCCCCAAAGAAAACAGCAAACATGTGAAGGGCAGATAAAAGACAAATTAAAGGTGGAGTTCTGGTCCATTTCCTGACAACTGCCGAGTGTTGGAGTAGATCAGTGGTCTCCACCCGTCTGTCACAGTACAGCCCACTCAAGTTTCGACTCCAGCTGGACACAGGCTAAAACGCAAGCGAGTATTCACAGAGGCCGAGGCAGCCCATTAGTCTGCATCGATACAAATGTTCAGCCACAACTCCCAGGGCAACTGCTGGTCCGACTCGAAGCATGCGGCACCACTGTGGGAGCCGACAGAACCACTCAGTGTTTCTGTCCATTTCCAACAATGTTCAAACAAAACCAATAAAAATCAACTGTCCCATTTAATCTCTGTTCAGAATACAGCAAAAAAAAAAATTATTAGCAGACACTTGAGGTGCTGTATTCCTGCAATACTATTTTAGTGGTGGTTCTACTTATAATCCAATAATACAAGTAAATCCACAGGTACCGATGCTTTCACATAAACGCTCGAATGTAGTTTAAAAATCGGATTTAACAATGTCTGACAGCCTTGAAGTTGAATCCAACAGTCAAAGCGACTCAACAACGCTGCAGTGTCTGCAGTTCTTGTCAGCCTGATTCCTCCTGTAGAGTCCTAATGCTTCTGGACTCTCTGTCAGATCTAATTCACTTTGTTGTAGATTGGCTGAAAACCACATGCTGAGCTTGCTGTTGGTCGTTCATGTTTGTGTTGCTATAGCTGCAGAAAGACAAAACATCCGAGTACAGAGGAAAATCCAAATTAAAGAAGCAACACAACTTAAACATATAGATTAATCAAGATATTCTATTAAACACTTTGTGTGTGTAAACTATAGTGGATTTGTTTACAGTTGGAAAAGACAAATGTGAACAGATTCAATAATATACACTCTTAAAAATCAGCCAAACAAACCTTTGTTTATGTTTCAGAGTAAAAAAAAAAAGTCAATTACTTTGTACCAGGAAAAAAATACATTAACTTCCTTTATTAATAACTAATGACTGTCAGATTTTAGATGCAAGCAGGATCCACTTGAGGCTAATGCGAAAAAATAGGAACTCTCATAATCAATGACAAATGTTGCTTAGAAGTGTTTCACTTCAGTCTATTTGTTCATTATGTTTCCTCAAAGTATGTAAACAAGCAGTTAAACAGTAGCATCATGCATTTGTCACAGTGTAGAAATGCACCAAAAGCACTAGAACAAAAAATTACATTACCAATAGTCAAACTAGTAAAAAAAGAACAACAGGAATCGTGTGGTCCTCTAAGAAACAACTTCGAGGGATCAATTTATAAGTCAAACAAACACACTGAAAAATAATTAGGTCATTCCATCAGCATCTTCCAATCAATCTGTTCACATTAAATTCCCGCTGTGCTCACTGACACCAAACGATTACATCGAGCTACGATGTGAGAGATAACAACATGAATGTTTCCAGCCAACGTTAACAATGGCTGACAAAAAACACGATTTCAAGGCTGATTATTTTTTTGTCGACAGCTTAGCAGTAAGAGAACCGCAGAGACGGGAAGTGTTCTCCAACTCTGTCAAAGCCTGTCGTTTCCACAGAATCCCCTTTTCTCCACAGAAATGTAGGCCCATTGTACTCGACGAGCCGCTGCTCCTGTTGAGAGTGCAGTCGCCATGGAAACCAAAATTATTACCATAGAAACACAGGGCATCCTTTTTAAAGATTATTGTTGCGTAAGAAAAGCAGCAGGCTAACATCACACGGCAAGCAAACCAGATTCCCAGGGATGACAACCTTTCGACGAGTCTGTTCGTCATTTCAGATTAAAACCGTGACACGGACTCATTGAGAGAAAACAGAAAGCATCTGAGGATGAATGGATCCTGCAGGCTGTCAAAACCTTACTTTACCCAACAACTCATCAGTGAGAAAGAACTCCCTAAACAGGGCTACAAGAACAGAATGATTCATTTTTATAGCCCTAGAAGAGGGAACTCATTTCTTTGTCCCAGGCAACTTATGTACACAATGTTTCTTTGACGGATCGGATAAAAATCCTAACTGAACATAGCCAAAGTTTTGCCCTGATTCCAGCTGATAAAGATTCACACTTGCTTTTGTTACTCTTATTAACTCATTTACCAGTGTTGTGGTCATGTTCCACTTCAGTCACTGATAAAAAAAAAAAAAAAGTATGTTCAGGACGTCTTTTTGTAGTGACTGGTGTTTCGTCCACATTCCTCTCTTCTGCATGAGAGCTGTCTCTATTCCTGCATGGCCTCACTTCTCCTGAACAGCTTTACATAGTGAAGCAGTGATATGACTTGCTGATAATTTGGCTCAAAAGCTGGCTTTTCTGGTGGTTCCAGTTAATCACGCGGGCAGATAATTTTGTTATCTACTTCATAACTTAAAAGGTGTTGCTTTATGTGCCTAAATACCAAAGTCTAATGGTTTAGCAGCTCGCTGAGTTAAGTTCAGATCTCTGCCCAGTCAGCTGGGCACATCACATCACAAGTCAATATTAATTTTACTGTAAACGTCAGCATGAAATTTTAAATAACAGACTGGATGTCAACTTCAAAATTTTGATGATATTTCTTATTGGTGAATTCTATTTTATTGTCCCATTATTGTAGAAGTGACATGACTCTGTTCATGCAGCTCCAATTAATTATGCAGATAGCATTTACAGAGAAGTTTGTTTTCCAACAACTTTGACAAACAAGACATCTGGATAGAAAACAAATTCTCAGCACCACTGAACGACCAAAAGATCCACCAAATCCTCTCCAAAAACATGACATTGGAGTGACTCCATGCGAAGAGATCATCATAACACACGTTTAAGAAATGAGCTTAAAGTGTTGTTAGTTTCAATGCATAATGACGTTGTAAGCCATTTTTAATATCTAACTAAAGGCCACAAACAAGACGCATCTAAAGATCTCTGTGCTGGATGAACAGAAGAACAGCAGACGCTCATGTGATTCTGACAACAGATTCTCCAGGTGCTACAACCACCACAAACAAAAATTGGTGTGAATTTAACACTATGTCAAGCAGGGTCTCATTACGTGCTCTAAACTGTAATCAGTGTTCACAGATAAGTCTATTGTTGACGTGTCGAGACAACAGGCAAACTTGAACTAGATTTAAGAGTGAGACAACAACATGCGCTTGTTACTGCCATCACTGATCGAAACACTAATAAGTAGCAATTTATTTTCCTCAGGTTGAGTAAAACAGAATGTGGCCTTCATGTATGAAAACTACTCTATAATAAAGACTGAGTGATGTTTTTTTATTTCCAAATAACATAGAAATTCAGTATCCCATATATGAATGTGTTTGCCGCTAAACATGATGCACATCAACCCCACAAGACTTCAGCTAAAGCTGATAAATGTGATTATTTACAGCTAAATTAGTTGTATATCAACACGGGGTCAAAGGCCACTCAGTGAAGAAGATTCCATCGCACTCAGGGAGTAAAGATCTTGATTTTTGAAGAACTGTCCTGGGGTCTGATGAAGCTACAACTGAAGAAAAAGACAAAAGTTGTAAGACTGAGAACATTTCAACTGCAAAGAGAAATGAGGAAACTGCAACATACAAGAATCCCCCTAATGATTTTTTTAAAAAAGTCAGAAGTCATCCTTGCTTCATTTAGCAAAATAGACAGAATATCCCTATAAAAAGCCACTGAAATTATTTCCATTCATGATTGGAGGCAGAACAAACCACCTGTTCAATTGAATAATAATGAAACAAATGAATGAATTAACAAGACATGCCTGGAAAGGAAGGGGAAGTGGATGATGGAAATTGCATCTCTCTAACAACCAATTTATAAATTATTTATCACAAGGGTTTTTCAGTAGTAGTCTAAACATTTGATCTGACAAATGAAAAATGTAATGGATATTTTGTTAATGCACCAAGTAACAATTTTTATAAAACAGAATCTCAATTTTTTTCAAACTTGAAACACCTTTTTTGCTCAAGTTCTTGTGACGACACATCTCATTCCGTTGATTAAATTAAGAGAGAATAAGATGTTTCCTATATGCAAAAGGAAAAAGAAACAGCGTGGGAGATGTATCATCTGTTCTTTAGTCCAGCAACAGACAGAGAAACAGTAAACACTCATGTCATTCTATTACAGCGACTGGAGCCATCTTGGACACATTGTTCTCTAATAAAACACATCATCCCTGGTACAGTATCCCGAAATCCATTACCCGTTTTAGACTGCTAATATGTGTTATTTTGTTTTGTAGCTTTTAACATAGTATATTGATTATTAAATGAAGCTTCAGTGAGTGGTTGCTGTGGTGTGACAGTTTCCTTACTGTAAGAAGTGCTTCAAGCAGTCGCGTTTAAATGAGCATTTTGACAGGAAGGAAGGAGAGAGTAATATAGTAAAAACATGGCAGAAGAATGAGGAACATATTTTCAGCTGCACTGCAGTGGAGATTGTGGAAAGTGGGAGTTAAACAAACACAGCGCCTGCATCTACAACCAGTGTGTACATGTACTAATAGAGTGTGTGTTGAGAGTGTTAGCACAGAACCAGTCACAGAACCGAGCCCTGTCCTTTGGGAGGTTTGGTTGTTCTAACAGAATTACCAGATCCAGAAAGTATTTACAGTTTGGCTTTGCAACATCTCTCACAAGAGAATGGAGAACGTCTTTCTTAAAGGGGCTACACATTATTAGGAAACTGTAAAGCTGCAATATCATTGTTAAATAATGTGATATATTTCACCATGTTCTGGTTTCTTCCCCATAAAATATTACAAAATGTACCTTATTGGCACTAAAATATATCTAGTCTGAGAGTGCATAGCTGAGAAAAGGCAACCCAAATGGACAAATAAATCAATGAAAGAAAAGAAAAAGACTCCTCTGAAGATGTGGCCCTAAATTACAATGCAACAATCCAACAGATATTGGATCCAAGTAAGTCATTCCCAATTGTGATTTCTATATACTAGTATGCTGAATAAATTGGGCAGTTCCACCTCTCAGTGAAATCAGCAAAATGCAATACATCTATGTTCATGATCAATGATGTATCCAGTGCATTCCATCTCATTCATGATGTCAGTATGCAAGCCTCATTGTGAGGCTACAAATTTCACTAAAATTGTGAATTCGTTGGATTACACAAGCTGCATTTGTTCAGAAACCTTCATAACCTTATTACTTTACCAGTGGAGTAATAACAGCCTTAACATCCCAACAAAAATAATCACAATGTAATAATACAAACAACTTTTTATTAAAGTGCCTCTTAAACATGCTGCATTTGTGTTTATAACTATTGCCAGGAAAATCACAGTAGACATTTGTCATTTTTGCACAACCAATTCTTTACAAATCTAGTGTGGTCCAAATTTAATCCGTCCAATTGCATTTGATTGTTGTTGTTTTTTTTTACCCTTGTATGCATTTAGTATATAAAATAAAATAAAGTACAACTATGAGCTCCAAATATGGACGTTCCTCTAATATCACTGTCATCGCAAACGCAGCTCAACAAAACGGAATTTGCACACCCATTGTTGTGGAGGAGGGAAATACTCCCCAGAGGAACATTTGTACAAAAACACACCTACAGCAGCGAGACCACGCGAAATGCAAAAAAATAATGCAACTGCACCGAAGGCCTGCAATGGTAGCAAAAGCTAAGGACGCTTAAAGCGAAATACCTCGGGCCCAAAGTGTCCTCCCTGGTTGCTTTCCAGACACAAAGGCCACTCAGAGAAGGGGAATTATTTAAACAGAAAACAAAATGCAAAGGTCGTCGTTTGGTGTCGGATAATTTGCAGAAATGGCTCTGTTTAGACTCCCCCGCAACACATTAGCCAAACATAGACCACCACTGCAAATACATGCAGCCAGATATCTGCAGACAAAAAAAAAAACACACACACGGACTAAATGACACATGACAAGCAAAGCATGTCGTATATTTACTTACCCTCCTCTATTTAATACGGTGGCGAAATGAAAACAAAGCCGAGCAAAGACTGACCAAGGGTTCTCCTTGTTTTTCTCCCCTCCCCTAGTGCTTTCAGAGCGGGTTTATCTCCGCTCTCGGCCGTCCTCCCCCGCCCATCAACCTTCATGCCACTAGGGTGCGGCATGCACTAATCTCTGGTTCTCTATTGGTCAGTTTGAACCACGTGACGTTGCCAGCTTTAGTGATTGGAGGGTGAACTTTGAGCCTGCCTCTAACATGGTTCTTTGGTTTTACAGTGCAAAAAGCAAATTGTCATGTCTGGAAAGGTGCAGAGAAATGTCACAAAATAGACTAGTAATTATTATGTTATTAATTATTATATGTATTATTGTTTTCTCTTTAGGTTATTATACTGTGGTGCTTCTGTCCCCCCCAAAACTGGACAAATTTATGTATTATTATTTCGTTCCATGTATAGGACTCCAACAAATTCTGTTTGTATGTTTTTGTTTTCTTCAAGCATTAATTTCTCTTCTATTGTTGGATAAAAAAATAAATAAAACATTTCCACTGGCTTCAAATGTTGTTCATTGTGACCACGTAGAAAAGAAGTGCAATTGTCTCTACTACTGTTGTCTTTTTTTCTTTTTGGGTTCTTGTTAAAATACTCCCGCTACGTTGAAAACTCAGTGACACCACACGCATGTTATTTTTGGTGGACCAAGTTTCATCACGTATAAAGTTACTGTAGAAATTAGCACAATTTCTGCACGTCGTTTGAATTGTATTTACTCTTTCTTACCACTGGGTGGTGGTGTTTTGTCACTCTTTGTTGAGAGACTTTCCTAGGAATCTTTGTTTCTTTTTTTACAGGTTTTGTTAATTTTGTTCTAAAGATAGATATAATGGATTATGTAATCCTCAAATTCCTTCTTAAAGGATATGTACTGTGCATCTCTTCCTCAGAATTATGCTTGTAAGAGTCATTATAATTACCTGTTCAAAATCTTTATTTAGACTCCAATTAAAATTTGCTAAAATTGACAAGGGATTATTAGATTTTAAATGGTCAAAAATAATTATTTTATTGAGAGGTATAATTTTATCTGTTATTATTTTAATTTTGTTTGTTACATGTTGGTAAGTTGGTAAATAAGTCTTATTAGAATAGAATATTCTGGGATGTTACCATTTAATTTAATTGATAATGCATAATTTATTAGTCAAGACAAATATGTTCAATTCATAAGTCAATATAATAGAATCCAAATATAAGCAAATAAAAACCCAGTCGTCCCAACTCAGTCCTTGTTATATTACAGTGTAGTCAAATTTAGTTTATGATGCTAGATGAAAAAGAAAAACATTTATCTATCCAGAAAATTTATATTGAATTGAAGCTATGTAAAGTTATGTAAAAGTAAGTCAATATAAAGAATTCAAGGGTTATTGAACTGGTGTACACAAATAAGTACACAAATAAGTCAAAAACACTTTACTGAATAGTTTATTGCTTTATACAAAAGCCAACAGAAAAGAATTAGCATAAAATAGACAAATCAGTATTCAAAACTTGCATTTATCCAACAAAAAAGAAAACTTAGGAAATAACATTTGAGAGCGAGGATCAAGAGCAGGAAGTGCACGAGGCACCGAGCGTCTACGCCTCTAATAATACAAATAAAATTTGACAAACCAAAAATTTAAAGCTTTTTGTATTAATATTTTAAAATTTTACAAGTAAAACATAAAATCATGAGTTTAATTTCTCTCATACAAAAATCGCCGCCCATTCAGTTCTGTGACAAACGTGTTTTTCATCTGTTTAAAGTTGCACATTCTGAACATTGCTGGTAGTTTGTATTACACATAAAAATGTTGATAATTTAAGCCTGCTGTTGTTATTTTAAGTTTAATGTGAAGGATTTTTTGAAACTTAAAACTCCAGTTGTCGTTTACAAATTTCTGTAAGTAGTCCATAACGACTCGACCTTTGGCCCTTGTGGCGTTAATCCTGCTCCATACCAGTTGACAAACTTGCACGCTCCTCTTGACTGACCCCAGACCAGCAGTGGGTCTCTTTCAGTGTTGTGAATAATTGTGGTCTGCCTTGCAGCATGGATACACCCACTGGGGAATCTAAATATATCCAACTAGATGTCTCTGAAGAGCTCAGGCATGTAGATGATATACCTACACTAGAAATCCACACCTTATTGCATTACTTTCCAAATCCATTGTGCGCTTGAATGTTGCTGACACTCCCTAAATGCTCTTCCAAAGGTGAACTCATTCTTATCTAAACCAGCATTTAAATGAGCTTTAATGCTGTGATATCGTTAAGTCATTGTGTCTGCTGCTGTTTGTAACCTGTAGCAATTTAGAAAAAGAGCAACAGAAACTGAAGTGAAAAGTGATGACAACAAATTGCAAAGGGCAACAAACTGCCATGTTGATAGCTTTTAAAAACTGTTTGAGCAACAAATCATTGGACTACCAGTGTTTCGCCAAATTCCCAAGTTTCCTGTTTTCTCTTCCCAGCACATGTCACAGGGTGAGTGAAGATAAAACCCAGCTGCTTTTCGTATTCATTTCAGGCAGCGCTTGCCATCCCATTTTTAACTGCAGCTGGCCTTTAAGTCTCAGTTCTCAAATCATCAAGGGCTTTTCTGAAACTAAACAGTTTAAAAACTGCAGCTGCTGATGTCTGGCGACATTAACACATTTAAGAGTACGGCCTATTTATTTGCTCCATTTAAGACCAGAAAAAAGTTAACTCAGCTAAGACCGGACAGGTTGTCCTGCAAACCCACAAAGCAGCCCCAGGGGTAGACTATGATACTGTTGTGTCCTCTACCAGCAGTAATCTGACTTTTACTCAAAGATGGTATTGTATTGCACTCAGTGCTGTGGATAACCCCTCTCCTCCCTCCTCTTTTGCCTTCTAGAACGAAACAAGAGTCAGTCTGTTTTTGTTTTTTTTTCTTCTCCATGTTCTGGCTCACTTGTCCTTTAGGAAAACGTTGTGTAACCTTTGACCCCACACTGTGACCTTTCAAACTCAATCGCGCTACCTATAGAGTGCTTTGTAGACAATTTAAGGTAAGTAATTATACACCAGGTCTGCAGCTGTGGCGCCCGTGGAGAACAGCAGATATGATGCAAATTATAAGGAAGTGAGCTGGCAGCTTTAGAAAGCCCCAGAGATCTAAATTCCCCGCTTCTCTAATGAAAAAGCATTTATACTCCTTGATCTTTTTCACTTCTTTACGTCAAAGTTACAAACTTTATTTATCCTTTTTAGGTTTAATGTGTTCATGTTGGTGAAGCAGAAGGGAAATGTTGCATGGGGTCGAAGATGCTTTCACACGGGAAATAATAAAATGTGTGATATGTGTTTGCATTCATCCCCCTTTACTCTGTCAACCTAATAAAACTAGTCAACAATGTTTAAACAACACCAGACATGCTCAGCCAATCATCCTGAAGTGAGAGTATGACACAATCGCAAACCTACCAAAGCACAACTGTCTATCTGTGGTGACACGCTGGACCATGAGAGCCATAATAAATCAACCAAAGTGGTACCTGGAGGAGCCGCAGAGATCAGCTCCACTCAATTGAGAAGAAAATGAACATTTCAGGCTTGTATGCAAAAAAGAAACATTTTTTAGGGGAATACGAGAGTTCCACAGTAATTTTGCTCATTTTTACTCTCCTTTATCTGTTCTCATGATGCTCTACACATAAACCACAATCCAAGTGATACTGATATGACATAAACATAAAATAACAAATGAAGTTGATATTTTGGTCATGTATTTACAAAACAAAGAGAACATTTTGAGCTAAGGCCTGATATTACTAATGCATTAATCTCAATATTGCTCTTATTACAGTACTGCATTTTATCTGAATAAAAGAACACTGCCATCATGCTTTTTTTCTAAAGCCAACGCTGATGTCAATATTGCCAATAATGTCGATAATTAAGGTAGCTTTGTCTTTAACTGGTGAATTTATTTATTCATTTGGCATTTTTAAACTAACTACATGTTCATGTATTTAGTTTAAAACTACACTAACATGGAGCGTATGTTAGTGTAGCATGCTACCTCTGCTGATTTGAGCAGGCAGAGGTAGCATGCCTCTTACTTCGTACTTACTCTGTGGTACCAGAGAGCCGATGGCGTAGAAATTTCAGGTAATTCCATCCTATTCTCAGATCTGTTGTAGATCTGTTGTACATTTAATACAAGTGTGAGATAAACTCTACAGTATGCGCAATAATACTGGTTAGAACTTGCAGCTTGTACAGTTCAGTTGACTGAAGATTTACTTCTAATCCAGCGATTTTAAGTGTTTAAGCAACAGGCAGCTGGACTTCTTTTTTGTCTGAGATGTTTCCAGTGACATTCAAAATGTTTCTTCACTTCAGATCTTGTGTAAGGAATCCAGGTGTCACAAACCTCTGATTGGGTAATCACACAATTTGACCCCTGTTCACCTTTCTCCATCCTGTTAGGTGTTTGCATCATTACTTGTGAGATGTTTGCTAATGAGACTTCAGCGTTTCAGTTTCATGTTTCAAGGTGTGAATGGTTGTGAAACCACCTGAGGAGAAGAATAGGAGTTTCATTCAAGATAATTGAAATAACCGGAGGACACATATTTGTTTGTTTTCTTTTTTTTTTGTGTGTGTGTGTTTAGTTTTACAAAAATGACATCCATCAAACCATCTTCTTTTTGTTTCTTCTTTCAAACATTTAAAACAGTTATGTCCTGGAAGACTGGAGACTTTACCAGGGACTTGTGTCCTATTGACAATCCCTATGGGGTTTGGTAGCTGCTGCTCTAGTGGCAGGATGTTCTGGTGTGACCTGCTTCTCTTGGGTGCGGGTCAATTTGTACTCATCAGGTGCAATTGCTAATATTAAGTGAATTGCTGATTCATTTAAGGTGAGATTTTTATTCCAGTACAATTACGTTTATCAGCAGTAGTTTTGGCTTGTTGTCTTTTTAGTGACGGGCTTGATGCTGTTGGCACACTTGACATGCAGCAATAAGGTCCTCCAATCCTCACAGCCCTAAGACATCCTGCTTTTTCTCCCAATGATGGCGAGAGAGTTTAATTCGATATTTTTGGAGCAGTTTTTACAGTTATGACAGCGATTATGTTTTTAGAGGTAGTTTTCACAGTGAAACGTTTTCAATCCAAGTCAAACAATGTCAGTATTTTGTATGCACAATCCAGGGTAATGTTTAAGTGAAGTGCATTTTTTGTTTGTTTCCCAGCAGCAGCAGCAGCAGCGTCACACCATCGCCTCCTGCTCCCTCTCTCCCCCCGCCCCCACCCGGCCTGTCGCTATCTCAGCCAGGAGAGTTTTGAATTCAGTCTGTGGTCCCAGACGCCGCCGCCGCTGCCATGCTGCAGAGCTGAGAGACAGAGACGAACCAAAGTTTGATTTTACCCAAGCTGCTGCCGCATTTTATCTTTATAAAAATAAAAAAGAGAGAGAGGACGCCTTCCACACGGTAAGTACCCGTTTCTTATACCGTTCCGAAGAAGCTTCAGCTCCGTGGTTTGGGAAAGTATCAGGGGTTTCCTTCAAAAGTTGCTCGTTTACGGCACCGCATCGCGCCGCCGCGGAGTTCTCGGCTGCACTTGTTCCACTCTCGCGCAAACTTCCAAAAGAGGCTCAAACAGAGGGCAAAAAAATGAAATAAACAGCACTTTACTCATTTATATTATGTTTCTTGTTCTGCGTAAACTTTCACCACTAATTTCCCTAGTTTAAAAAAAACAAAACACAATCATTTGTAGCGAAAATAATACGTCAAGAGAGCGCCTTTTGTGGTCACTCTCCTCGAAACGCAAATAAGGTCAAAGTAAAAGAGCCATTTAAAGATTAAACCTCTCCTCCACCTTTAAAATGCCACTCTGCCACCCAGAGGTCATTCAGGGGTTCTTACCCTTGGCATGCATAAATCAAGGGTGCTCTTTCATTGCAATAACAAAAGCCCATTTACTGACAGCGCTGAAGCCCAGCCACATAACCACAGTTTATTTGAGGGGCTCGGATGGCGTCTCGGATACCATCACGTAAAGAAATGCATGAAAAGCACACTGTTGTGTCTCAGTCTGCTTATTTCCAGCTTTCAAACTGCATCTCAGAACAACTGGAGCATGTTTGTCTCACCTGGACGCTGATCTGGTCTGAGTGGTGACAGTTTATAGAGCTGCTTTCAGTCTCATCTCTTCCTCTTTGATTTGGTTGGTGTGTGACGGTGTGTGACATTATATTTATTCTTTCTGCTTCCTTTTTGACAGTGAAACACAAGCTGTCATAATGGCTTTGCCTTAATTCTGTTTTGATTGTAAAATGAAGCATATTATTACAGAAACTATGTTGATTGATTTGTCTTGACCAGGCTTTCTTTGCCATCTGATGTCCCGATTCAAATTATGGCTGACTCAGTTTTATTCCTTCATCAGGATGATAACTAGTAAGAGAGAATTATTGTGGTTAAAGGCAGTAGGTGTAAATGTGGTAGAAATTCTGATTATCCTCAGAAAATGTGTACTAGATATTTGGTTTCTTTGTTTGATATGTCAAAATGGTGAACGTTATTAGGACTAGATGCATTTAAATGCAATGATTCATTTATTGAGATTCAAGTATTGTTCTTATTAGAATGCACGTCTTTCATTTAGTCTTTCATTTTTATGCCTTTGTATTTTTCTGCAAAATGCTAGGAATATTAGGAAATGAGTTTATCACAAGTAATGATTTCACGATAGGGTCAATAACTTTCTCACATTGGGCTAACTTGGCATGAATAATTTATTTACCCTTAATAAATGGAATATTTGGAAAACAGTTTTATACCAGTCAAATGATCTTTGCCAGAAACATTGTGTGTGTGACAAACATGCAACTTGGGGTGTCTAAAACTTTTTACCAGACACTTCAACTGTTTTATGACTACGACTATGTAATGTGCAGATTTGATCCTGACTACGACTATGTAATGTGCTTTAAAGCTCCTCTCTAGAGCTTTAAAGCACCTCCTGTATTGTACAGTACTGGTTTAGTTTACATTTGAACATGACAGATATGATGATTTTCTTCTAAATCTTTGTTCCCCCATGTTTGTTGTTGGTGCCGTTTATTGCCCCGCCTCGCTGTCATCTTCACTCATGGTTTCACCAGAATCCATCGGCGCTGACATGCCCCCCCCTTTTGAGCTAAATAACTAATTCTTCTGCCTCATTGGCCTTGATTCCACAGGTCCTCAGCTGGGTCACGTCAGACGTAGGGGCAGAAACCTGGATCTTGTCAATCTGACGGGCTGGCTGGCAGTTGAGCGAGCCAGAGTCGTGTCAGACGGACCCTAAGGCAGGGAGTGGCGGACAGGGGGCTTAGGGGCGGGGGGGTTCGAAGAGCCAGCCAGAACAGGATATTGCTGTGTGATCATTCACCAGCAGCAGACAAATCATTAAACCCTGGGCTGCATGCCGATGAGCGGTTCAGGCATTTCTGTCTGTCACTTAAACTTCCCCCTCAGGCTAGAGTTTATGTTGTAAGCTTCTTGCTGTTTTGGCAGGTTTCAGAGTTTCTGTTATGATGATAGCCAGTTGTGTATAGATTTTGTTGGTTAAGCAGATTTTAATCATTTAGAGTTGTAAACAACTCATTTTTTTCCTCTCAGACCATTGCTTTCATATATACAAGAAGTGCTTAGTGTAACTGAATTTGGCACTGAACTGTCACTTGACCTGTTTTTTTAAATGGGTAGATTCATTGCACATGAAAAATTTTATTTTAATGCATTTCTTCTCGATTTGCTTGAATACTGTTGGAGAAAAGCTAAGTATAGATAGAAGCATATTAAACCCATAAAATTCACGTGTATGGAATTAACTCAGAACAGTCTGCATGAAATCACACATATGTGACCCATCGCCATAGCTCTCATTTAATCAGTAATCAATTTGAAATGAATACAGTTTGCAGGCTATCTCACTGAATGCCTTCTTTTAGATCTGAACTTTGTGCAAAAATGCCTTCTTTGTTGTTGTTTTTTCTTGTTATTTTCTTGTTATCCAAGCATTTATTTGCTTGGATGCCTGCTTTAAATCTCAGGCCAAGCTCTGGCTGTTTGTCAGATTTTCACTCTTTTTACAAACTGGGTGCATTAAAATCTGCCCTGACTGGAGAAGATCCAGCTCAAGTTGAGAACACATACCGCGTTCAGGTTCCAAATGCAATTTGCCAATCTAAAAAGGCCTTTTGCATGCAAACCTCTCTGCATGCCAGCTCTGAGAGATTTTTGGACCCCTAATGGGTTTGATGGTGAACACTATTCATGCATGCCACATGCATTTCTTTGAGTTGTTTTCCAGTCGCAGGACTGGGTGAATTGCCTGTAAATCACCTGATCTTCATCGGCTGTTGTAGCCATCAGTTTAGAAGGTACCGTCTGTGACGGAGATGCATAGAACAGGCTGTAACCTGACAGATGAAAGAGCTCATATTCACAGTAATGTTTTTTTCTTTTAAATGTCAGGTTAAGGAAAAAAAAAAGGGGAGAGTTTGATTGTCTTGATCCTGGAGCCCTCCAGGATCAAGACAATGTCAGCCAGTGGTGCTTTGATGTGAAAAACGTGCTAGATTTCAGACTTTTTGGGCAACCCCCCACCTCCATTTCAAAGCCACAGACCTCCCCCTGCCACACCCATTTACTGTACCCCAGCACCCTCAGGCTGGATTAATCTCACACTGGCAAAGACAGCAGCATCTGGCTGCATATCAGCTGCAGACATGTGGCATGTGAAGGCACTTTGAGTTAACTGGCAAGACATAGCGCATTCCAAAGATATCTCAGCAAAACTGCCTCACAATTTAGTGTGGGTTTTAAAAAGAAGGTAAATGCTGGATGTTTAGCTTTGTTGGTCGTTTGATACTAAATGAAAGAACATTACTTGCTTATCATTATTAAGAGAAAGTTAAATGACTCATGGTTTTTCAAAACGTCTTGCTCTCATCAACTTTCTTGTCCCTGCTGAAGCTGTCACTACTATGTTTTACCTTGGAAAGAGCGAGTACAGTAAGATGTGCGTCTAGGCAAAGAAATCACTTACATCCATGATGAAATAAAATGAGCTCAATTTCCATTTCCATCTACAAAAAACTGGATGACAAAAGTCTTCAGTCTGGTGTATTGGTCTCATTTAGCCTCCCCCCGAACTCCTGCTCCTAAATATATATATATTTATATCTTGGCACAGTAATACTTGACAGTGGTCTTAAAACAACATTGCTTTTATCTCAATTTATCATCCAGGATGTGCGTCATACCGCAGTAAAAGTGAAGAAAGAGCATTCCTCTGCTTTCATTGACCCAAACCAGTGTGCAAATTGCTGGAATATGCATGCAGTAATCAGATTACTGAAAACTCCAGGAAATTTGTGAACATTCCCAAGATGTTAGACTGCGCAGCTTTAGAGTGATACTGCTGAGAGCGCAGTAAGCTCCCCGATCTGTTGCTGCAGGGCCGCTGACAGCTTACTTGGATGTTTTGAAAAGGTTCCCAGTGTTGTGCTGCTGAGAGCAGAGAGCTGGAAGGGAATGGATGGGGAGGTGGGGAGCACAGTCTACATACAGTACATTCTGTTGTTATTGGAGCGCGTCGTTATCACAGCTAACCAGCGGAGGTGTTTTCCTGTTGGACTTTTCTGTTAAAATGTTTGAAGGTGATTTGCATAGGGGGAATGTTGGGGAAACGCATTTCTAGTTTTTTTTTCTTTATTTTCCTGTTGATGTTGCTAGTTGAATTTGCACATAAGGAAGATGGTATGCGCATCACAAAACTGTTGCCTGTGGATGCAGAGAGCCTTTGCAGTTACCATTTTCATGTGTAGTAAAGGGTTGCAAAGGTTTAGCAAGCGAAAGCACTGCCTCAACCTGCTGTTTCTTTTCACTCTGTTGTAGGAGAGACCAATCTGTCCCCTCAACAATGACCACACTCCCACAGACACGAGATCCTAACCTCAGCCCCCTCCCCCTCCTCCTTCTTGCCCCGGTACCCCAATTTCCCCCTCCCCCTCCTCCTCGCCAATTGTGCGCCTTTCCAGAGGCGTGATCCGTGTGCCGTCGCTCTCCAATGCCGAGCAGTGTCATGGGGATCGGAAAGCTTTCCTTGCTTCTGTCACACTCTCAGGTGGCACGCGCTTAAATAAAATGCATTTGGAAGGCATATAGTATCTCTCGGCCATATGTAGCATCGTGGATTTATGACGCTGAAGGCAGATAGAGATGAGGGAGTGTTAGGGGGAGAACCTGAGAGAAGATTTACCAACAACTAAAGGGAGAAGGTGCTCATATGTTTTGATATTTTTTTTGTGCAAGCCAAGAGCTGGTTTTCCTCATTTTGCAAGATGTTTTCACTGACCAAATGGTAAGATTCACCTCAAGCACATGCCTTGTCGACACGGTTGAACATTATGACTGACGGCAGTGTTGACACCTTTTTTTCTCCTGCAGAATATGGATGGATGCCGTGGCTTTTAGATTTGCTTTGTGCAGTGTGGGATCTGCGCAGGATGGTGCATGCTATTTTTATCCAAATCTCATATGAGAAGTGAATAATTTAGTGTTAGGTTGCAGGTTTTTGGAAGGCAGCGATGGAAAGTGCACAGTGGTGCTTTTCAGAGGAAAGGTACAGAAAGTCAAAGCCCCGGTGATTTTTCTCTTTGTATAGCTAAATTTTTTTTAACATGCTTTGTTCTAGAGGAGGAAGTCCGACAATCATCTTCCGTTCCACAAGTTGCTGCTGTCAACCTGGATACCGAGGGACTTGTTTTTGTGCGCGGGGTGCAGGTAGAGAAGCAGTGGTTTCCCCTGTGCGTCTCAGCAGCACGCACAGGGGAAACCACTTTTTCTAGTGTTCACAAGAGCTTGTTTATTCTTTTTACCACATTAAGTTTTCTGCAGCTTCACGTGTGCTGCATTCAGTATTCAAGTTTTTCTTGCATGCAGCATTGAATTTTTCCAGCATAAAAACGAGACATGCTTTTATTATTGCCACAATTATTGTGGCAATTGTCGGTTAAAAAAAAATCTGCATCTTGTTAATCTAGATTTGTTGTATTAGTTTATTGTTTTGTGCTTTGAGATACTTCTGATTCCTGCATCTTTCCTTATTAATTACATTTCCGTTGTTGCTGAATTGCCAGAGGAAATTACCTCTAAATTGATTGCTGTAATTACTTGGAAATGCACAGCTAATGCTTGACAATCCTGAAGATGGATGAGCTAATGAGCAAAAAAAAAAAAGAGAAGAATTATTGACAAATGCTTTTAAGCTGTGCATTTTAGTCAAGTAGGTAGGAATTGTGAGAGTGAAATGCATACCCTGAAGACAAATACTGGCTGCTGCTGCTTGACCCGTCTGGCTTTGGGTGGGGTCGAGACCCTGCTTTCACATGTCTGGTCACCTCATCTTATCTGAGCTTGGTTGTGAATTGCTATTTAAAATTTATCAGCTTAAGTCCCTAAATCCTGCACTGGCTGGTCAGTCTGTCAACACATTGCGTCGTCTAATCTATTAAATCTATGTGCGACTGCTGTAAGCTTTTAAAGGCAGATAAAATCAGGAGCTAATAGCAGGTTTGGAGTTTGTACATATTCCAGTTAGGCAGGGTAAGATCAGCCAGTTAAATATGATAGAAAATAGAAATTCCTTCATATAAGGGAATCTCTAAATAGAGGTTATTGACTAGTGGTAATTGAACTCTCAGAATCCTGAAAAGCAATCCACATCTGTAGCTATAGACTATGCAAAGTCTTCTTGCCAGCCGGTGGATTTCTTGCTCTATTTGTGGAAGCTAGCTGGCTGGTGGGCTGCTCCAGTAACTATGGTGACGGTGTCCCCAGTAAGCCTCGGAGCAACCCCCGGCTTTTGCACGTCTGATTTGTGAAAGAAGTGATGCATGTCTGCAAAGTGGAGACTCGGACAGTGACCTTTTCCTTCTGTTTTCTTTCTCGTACTGTCGTCTCCACACTCCGCCCCCCTTACATGCACACGCACAGACAAATACACACGTAGTTAAACAATCCTCCAGCCACTGAAAGTAAAATAACCTCAGTGTATTAGCAGATTCCTTTAAGAAAATTCAGTGAATCTGCCACTGAATATTGTGATTTAGTTAACCATTTTCCAGATCCTCTTCATTCTTTTCCATCATATAACAAAAATATAAGCTTAGTATGGGAACTAAAGGTAATTGGAGACCATCCAGCTGCCCATATACATTGTTGTCATGCACAATATGAATGTATTGAACTTGAAATATGATGCCCTACCAAATATACAATTGTGATTGCGATTACAGCCCTAACAACTGCGAAATCCTCCTTGTTATTGAGCAGAGATAAAAAAATAATCTCCTATTGTTATGTTAAACAAGTCAGTAATTTACTATAGCGTTGAGGAGATTCCCACATGTGAACAATTAAATACAAGGTGCGATGCCATACAATTGGAGAGAGTGATGCAGTTCTGCATTGAAGCAAAGGCATAAGGATTCCTAAGGCAACGTTTTGATTCGTCTTTATCTTGTTTTCTGATTAGCACAGTTAAAATAAACATTTCTAAATCCAGCAAGTTCTGTGACAGATGGGTTGAAAGTTCAGAAGGATAAAATCCAGATCCTTTGCTGTTCTCTATTAAGCCTTTCTGTTATCTCATAATGTCCCACTTTCTTTTGCAGAAAATGTCTGCAAAAAATATGAATATTTTTTTTTTTTCAAAAACTACTTTGATTTTCTTCAAAATTCAAATATTTTTAAATGTGTCTTAAAGGAGTCAAGTCTTTATCACCCAGTACAGACTTCCACAGTAAACTGTTTTAAAAGTACAAACTAATCACTCAGCTATTGTACTTTCAGGAAAAGAGATCTGCATGTTTAGGTGCCAACTAACCAATCAGGCAAAAAAATAGGTAAATGTGTGAATCCTGATCGTTCGCCATTTTGTCTTCTTGCATCACCAGTTATTAATGTTACTGCTAAGAGCTAACATGAAGATTACCAATCCAGTATTTGAATGGTATAATAAATATTTTTTAAGCTATAACATTTATTGTCTATAAGCTCAAAGGCAATTGATCTGCATCTGTATTTCTTTGTTTTGAACACATTTCTGGAACAGAAAAAATGTTTTCTTTTGAAAAATCTGATTTTGGGAATTATTTTTCTTGTCTCTTGAACTAAAAAAATTTATATTTTTTTGCTTCTTGGAGTTTTTTGTTCTGCACATAGATGGGTTTTAGTCGTATCATATTATTTAAAGTATCGGGCTGACTTTGCATTGGCTAACATCCATTTTTAGATAACTCAAAAAGAGTTATCTAAAATCTTAATTAGAGCATCCTTACTTATAACCCAGGATCAAATTTTGTGATTTATATACGAGGCATATTTAGCAGTTTTCGTCTCATGATTGGGGTTTTGATGCGATAGAGATTTCTAACTATTTAATCTTATTTGTATGTAATATTTCATAGTGTAATCTAAACGTTTATCTGTTTTACAGATCTCGGTTGCTGTGTCGGTGCTGAGCCTCACTCACCTGTTTCCAACTGTGTGAAGAAAAGTGCAAAGAAGATTTAATGAATCAGTATTCACTAGCCGACGCTATGACCGACAAGTAAGTTTGTCTCTTCCACGAAGATTTTGAATCTTATACCGTTTGTTTTTCTTCTTTTTTTTAACTGGATGCTTGTTTGAATATAAAGGATGAGGAGGATACAGTCTGTGGTTTCTCTTCTCATTGTTTCCCCATGTTGAATGTGAAGCAGGGTTTGCTTTGCACAGAGAGAAGTGTGTTGTTGTGGTGGGGGGCTGGTATAAAGACAGTCTTGTGTTGCCCCTGAAGACATATGACATTTGCATCAGGGCTGATTTGCATTCCTGCTCACTGTGTTGATATGTTGCTGCCACGTTTAGCTGCTCTTTATTTTCTTGACAAAATAACAAGAACACTGGGTTTTGAGGCTTTTCTATCCCATCTCTTCCTCCTAAAACTTTTCTGTATTCTTTCTTTTTGTGGCTCACTTCTTTTGGATCAAATCTCTTTCTGCTCTCTGTCTCCTTTTTTTTGTGTTTCTTTTGTAAGCTCTGCCTCTTTGTATCTCAGTCCTGTGTTCCTGACTTTGGCCTGTAGACCAAGAAGAATTGGAGTGCAGTAAGCAAAATAATCTGACGTCAGCATTCATAATAAGCGGAATAAGTGGTGCAGGACGGTCAGCTCAAAGGGGTGAATCCAAGCAAAACAAAGACTTTTGCTTTTCCCAGTTAGGCGAAATAACAGTTTTGGTGTTTGCAGAAGGTTTGAGTCATTAGTACATATTGCTTTACTTAAGAATAGGTTAGAAGTCAGTATTTGAGTGCACTTACCCACCGTCCATCATCTACCAACTTATTGCTGATGCACCTGTTCACCCCTTTGAGAGTGGAAAGATAAAAAGGGCGCTGGGTTAGTTAGTCGGCTTTTCTATGAAATAAGCCTCAGGGTGCCTTCTTTGCATCCAATTATGTCAGCATAAGATACACCACGTCTCTTTGAGTAGAAGAATGCAACATCTCCCCACAGGGGGATTAATCCTGAAAATTAAAAAAAAAAAACTATGCCTCTTAAGCCATTCTTTTCATGTGTTCATACTCAGGAATATTTATTAATTTCTTCTAACGCAGCACAACAAAGAAAAAAATCTTTGCAGAGAGTGTAATTTTAAAACCAAATGCATAAAATTGATGCAATTATGGGATCCGTGATGCTTTTTAAGTAAGAGATGACAATGTTGACAACTTTCTTTGCTGGATCAAAAGTATCCAAGCAACCAAAAGATGGTGCCTCTTGTGGAGGGAGTGTTGTTATTGTGTGCTAGAAGGATTGTTTGAGTGAGGAGAATGATAAATGTTGTGCTAAAAGGAAGCAAGGGGAAAAGTTGGAGGACGCTGCCCCCCAACAGCGACCGAGAACAAAGCCCCCCTCAACGTGGGACTACTCAGGATTTGTACAAAGGCAGAAGAAGATTGCTACTTATTTTCTCTTCAACACACACTCGCATGACCCTCGGCCTTTCTTTCTCCCTCTGCCTCAGTCATCAGCAAACATTTACACTTTGTGGAATATCAGCGGACGTTCCATGAGAAATGTAAATTCCACTTGGTATTCCCAGATGCAAGCTAACACGTGGACATGTCTAACGAGTGGAATCGTGCTTCTTTAATGATTTTTTTTTTGTCTCGTTAGACTCCTACAGACTTTCTATGGGAGGATAAAGCAGGAAATGAGTGTGTGACCACTCGTCCTAAATTTGGATTAGCTGGAAATAACTTATTTGTCCTTTGTTGTTGCTTTTTTAAAACAAGATTTACACATAGGATTATAGAAGTATTTAATTTTGGAAGATTCATACTTTTTATAGTAAAGCATAAAACTGCCTTGTTAATGTTATTTCCAATTTTTCTCAGGAGAGCAACCATAGAATTAAAGTTACAATGAATAAAATTCAATGCTACATAAATCTAAAAACTATGCCATCATGTTTTGTTTAAATATATTTAAAACTTTTTCACAATGGAGAATTCTTTGACTGCTTTTCTGTTTATATATTCCTTTCCTTTGTGTGCTGGCAGACTTTTGTATCAAAGCTTGTTTGTTTTTTGTCTTCTGCTCTTTGAGTCTCACTTCCCTCGTCCACCTGTGCTGGTGTTTACTGACGGCCTTGTCAGAGACTTGGGATGTTTATAGTTCCACAGCAAGAAAGGCTGTTCAGGGTGTGCGTTTCTCTGAGAGGGCTAAAATAACAAACTGTCATAGAGATATGGGAGCACTTCCCAGCTGCCTACTCTGTTTAATATGTCTGCTTTGCCTTTCTGCATCAGTCAAGGTCCTCTGTGTGTTGAGTTCACATCGGTGTCAGTACAACGTAAACCAATTGGGGCTTTTTAGCGGCGCAAACCTCTATAAAGCTCAGTTTTTCTTGTGAACACACAGCTTTCAATCTACTTTAAAAATCCTCAAATAAAGTCGTGTACTGCATTGAAGTGTTTAGTTTGCACTTCCACTCTGTTAGGGTCCTGAAGTGCAACCGCAGCCACCGTTGTTCTGGTTTGAGAAGTTTTCAAAAGACCTTCTTTTCCCGGCTGTCATTCATATCCACTCATCAATTAAAAACTATACACTTGTGACATCTCCGTTTCCGCTGTGTCACCCCTGTGGACCGCCGTGTCACCAAGGGCGGCGTTTGCCGGGCGCTGCTCGTCTCGCACCCGCACTTGTTGCCCCTCCATAGCACATCCTGAATTGAGACGTGTGAAGGCGTGGTGTCATTAGGATTCGTGGCTGCATTGTAAAAACTTGAGATCAGCTGTCACACGGTTTTGTGGGAGCCAGGGAAATCTAGTTCAAAGTGCTTCCTGAAGATGTCGAGGGGGATGCACTCTTTGACCTAAGGCTCATCAATCTTATACATCTGTCAGCTTCTCCTACTGCTCTGTAGATGCTGTCCGGAGATGTTATGTGATGATTGTGTATATTGTATATTTGTGCTTGTTGTAAACATGTTTCTATTGGTGCTTGCATGATTATGTGAACGAAGGGTGAGTTAACATAGAGAGCTGGTAAAGTCTCATTGATGCTGAACTCCACTGAGATAGTTTTGAAGTTTCTATATTAATAAGATTCTCATAAAAATGAAAGGAGAATGTTTTATTTTTTCCCACGTTTTGTGTCCAATTGAAGTTTCCAACTGGATTGTCAAATCTGACTTTTTAAAAATTGACTGAAAACTCACCAGCTCCGAGTCTGAAATCAGATTTGGCAGCATTGCTGAAAGTTTTAGCAGCTGCAATAATAATTTTTTATTTGAGCATATCTTTCTTTCTTTCAAATACTATGTTCTATCGTGTTTTTATCAATTTTATAGATTGACATACTTCGATGTATGTCGATCTGGCACAAGTTATTCTCATTGTCTGTTTATTGTTTGTCTTCCAGACAAACTGATGTCATTCCCAGCTTTAAGTTCAACCATCCATTGGAAGTGCAGTGCCACATATGTTATCATTTTTGTTTGAACTCCATATCTGCCCTAAGCAATGTTTCATTCTTAGTTAAACATAGGAAATGACTCTGAGTAAACAGTTTTGAACTGTAAACCTGGGAGCATATCCAGGTATTTAAAGATGGGGTCAGTAAAAATGCCACCGTTAGCAGGAGTTTTTTGTGATTTATCCCTGCTTAACATAATCTGATTATTGTTTTATGCACCAAAGTAGGAAAACTGTCTAATACAGATGATTCTGCATATTTGGGTTGATTCAGCTGACCTGATTTCAGTTGTGATGCTGTCGGCTCTTGTGACACGTTTTTGGTTAGGTTTGAATTGTCTTGGTAATCACAATACATGGTCTCACTGCAGGTTGATAAATGAATTGATTCTGTACACAGTCTTGGTGGAAAAAGTCCAGGCATTATTTTTTTCATGGAGGAGTGTGGGGAATGAAAGCTGATCAGCTGGAAGAATGTTTTCAGCTTTGGTGTAGGGGTTTTCATTTTGTTCAGGGAAGCAGTCTAAATGAGCAGACTGGAAACTGTTGTGAATAGAGGCCCAGCCATCTGTCACAATGGCAAGAGGATTTCTGAGGGCAAAAAAAAATATTGTTTCCATGCACACAAGTGTTGGTACCGTCGAGCTGACTGCGAATTCCTCTGGAAGCATTCAGTCCTTTAAATTTCACTAGTGATGCACAACACTTTGAAACGCCTTTGCAATCAGTTATTGCTTCATTGGCTTGAGATTGGTCATTTGTTCCCATGTTAGATCAGCATCTTCTGAGAACTTTTATGACTGGATCTGCAATATTTTTGGGAGTAACTGTTTGATATTCCTTAAAAGTGTTGTCCAAATCAAAAAGTGAAATAAATGCAAATTTGGCTGTGATAACAGCCTCAAAATTGAGGTGAGATGCCCCTTTGAGAGGACATTGCAGGCGCTTTTCAATTTTTTCAGAAAAAAAAAAATGTTTGAATCTAAAACCAGTACTGAATTAGACAACATTTCCTTGTATGTTTTTTTTTTCTTTAGCAAATTTTATAGTGTGAAAATGTAAACTTTCATCAACAGGAAATGTCCTTTTTCCATTATCTAAAGCACGATGTGTGAACTTAGGTAAACTTGACTAGTTTTGAAGGGGTATATATGTCAACATCTTAATGAAGCATCACATGGTGTTGGGTTAACTAATTGTTTTAACTGTGTCCTGACAAACTAACCACACACCTCTAACCTTCTTCCCCTTTTAGGCATGCGCACAGTGACACCATCACATAACTGTCTTGTCTGATCTGTGTGTCTTCTCGCCCTCCCTAGCCTGAGGATATTATAATTCTCTCAAGAGGAAGAGCGTCGCATCTTTTAGGAGCCACAGGTCAGAAACTATACTCCTCTACCTCCTCTCTTCCTCGCTCACTCCATGTTTGCTGTGCAGACCGATACTGAGCTGCTTTCAAGCCCGCAAGCTTAAAAACGAGTGTTGCTCACCCAACCCGCACTTGTACGTGTCGTGACGTTTTGCTTGTTTTCTTTTATTATTAACTTTTGCTGCATGAGCACACCTGGGCAACCTGACTGGGATTTG